ATACAATAGGTTATGAAATTCCAAGATGCCAATTTAGGATGTCCATTAACTTCAGAATGAATGCAGGTGCTACCCCTTGCACGAAAGAATTTCAGCTTCAAAAGACAACAAGAACTTCTCTACCAAAGCCTGTGTATAATGCCCTTGAGATTAATTGAACGTGTTTTGCCATGGTTGACGGCATCTTTAACCGAAGATGAAGCTAAGAATTTTCTGAAGAACTTGCAAGCTGGAGGTATAATATACTGTATTGCATTTTTTGATGAAACTTAACCTTTTTAAAAATTATTAGCTACTCACAATCTTGCACGATTACATGGTTTCTTTGTGGTCTCAGCACCTAAAGCGGATGCTGCTCTTGTTACTCTTTTCTCTGGTTGGGCATGCAAAGGACGCAAAGCCGGGGAATGCTTGTCTCCAAACGGGAATGGTTCATGCCCTGCTAAAACACTAAGCAACATTGAAGAAGTCAACCTTCAGTCATGTAATGCTTGTGCATCTGTGCCATGCTCAAGTAGGAATATAGAACCATCTTGCCAGCATCAGGATAACCGGCCAGCTAAGCGAACTGCTGTATTGTGTTGTGAAGAAAAGGCTACTCCTCATTCGTCAGAAGTCGCAAATGGGTGCAAGCCATCTGGAAATGGTAGGTCATGCTGTGTTCCAGATCTCGGAGTTAGCAGTAATTGTCTGGGACTTGGTTCTCTTCCAGCAGCTAAAGCTATGAGATCTTCACTAAAATCTCCGGCGCCCGCTCTTAATTCCAGCCTCTTTGTTTGGGAAATGGATAGCAACAGCTTTGGTACTGGACATGCCGAGCGGCCGGTTGCTACAATATTCAAATTTCACAAGGCTATAAGTAAAGATCTGGAGTTTCTTGATGTTGAATCTGGAAAGCTCATTGATTGCGATGAAACATTTATTCGTCAATTCATTGGTCGGTTTCACCTTCTCTGGGGTTTCTACAAGGCTCATAGTAATGCAGAAGATGATATCCTATTTCCAGCTCTGGAATCGAAGGAGACGCTTCACAATGTCAGCCACTCTTACACACTCGACCATAAACAGGAGGAGAAGTTGTTTGGAGATATTTATAGTGTTCTTACAGAACTTTCAGCTCTTCATGAGAAGTTACAGAGTGATTTGCTGATAGGGGACGTTGATCAAACTGGCACTGATCAGACCGATATTGATAACAGTGACTGCAAGAAGGAGTACAACGAACTGGCTACAAAGCTACAAGGGATGTGCAAATCCATTAAGATCACATTGGATCAGCATATTTTCTTGGAGGAACTGGAGCTCTGGCCTCTATTTGACAAACACTTCTCTGTTCAAGAGCAAGACAAGATTGTGGGGCGTATAATCGGAACAACGGGTGCTGAAGTTCTTCAATCTATGTTACCATGGGTGACGTCCGCCCTTTCTGAAGACGAGCAAAATAGAATGATGGATACCTGGAAGCAGGCCACCAAGAACACAATGTTTGATGAATGGCTCAACGAATGCTGGAAAGGATCACCTGACTCATCCTCAATAGAAGCATCCAAACCTAGTCTACAAAGAGGTAAAAGCAAATTGCCTAACCATTTTTAACCAACTTAATATCTAGCTGGTTTCATTTAGCACTTAGATCTTTCTGCTTTGGACTTTATCCTTTCGCTGGCTACTGTAACATCTCTCTGCGTGAAGTCTGTTTTGCTTACGCCAAGTTTATTTTCCATACAGATAATGAGCATCAAGAAATCTTAGACCAAACTGGCCAACTTTTTAAGCCGGGGTGGAAAGATATTTTCCGCATGAATCAGAACGAACTAGAGGCTGAAATCAGGAAGGTTTATCAGGACACAACCCTTGATCCGAGGAGAAAAGATTATCTGGTACAAAACTGGAGGACCAGGTCAGATTTGTTTTTCACTATATCCCTGCACAGATCCTTTATTCCACATTTTCATGCACATCTGGCATAAACTTCAAACCCCATATCGATGACCTATTCCCCTGCATTACTTGAAATTAAGAAAATTACTAAATGAAAGATGAAAGAGTATTCCCGTGTATATACTGGTATATGCGTGTGTGTTCTTGATTGAACAATCCCCTGAACAATAGCGGACCTATAATCTCATTCACATTTCCCTCATACCTGGATCCTTTATTTTCTCTAGAATAACATTCATTTTAAATTTCGCTTGTTGTTGCTTTTATCAGTCGATGGATAGCGGCTCAGCAAAAGTTACCTAAGGAAACAGGAACTGCATTAAATGGTGATGTTGCACCTGGATGTTCCCCGTCTTTTCGAGATCCCGAGAAGCAGATATATGGATGTGAGCATTACAAGCGTAACTGCAAGCTTCGGGCTGCTTGTTGTGGTCAGTTGTTCGCTTGTAGGTTTTGCCATGACAAAGTAAGCGACCACTCCATGGATAGGTAAGATCTTATGCCAATCTCCCATACTTTAAACTGAAACTCCACTTTTTGTTTTCCTTTCTCAGTGACATGATTTTTTTTAAATGGAACACTTTTACAGAAAATTGGTGACGGAAATGCTCTGCATGCAGTGCCTCAAGGTGCAACCTGTTGGCCCCATTTGCACAACGCCGTCATGCGAAGGATTCCCAATGGCCAAGCACTATTGCAGCATTTGCAAACTTTTCGATGATGAAAGGTAAGCCAAACCCAACAGTTTGATGCATATAATAATCAATTGCGACATTTAGATCTGTCGAAGCTCATACTTGAGAAGCTATTCATCTAACATTCAGAAACTATGATCTTTCCTTCAGAGCTGTTTACCACTGTCCATTCTGCAACCTTTGCCGGGTCGGGGAGGGACTAGGAATCGATTATTTCCATTGCATGACATGTAACTGCTGCCTGGGGATGAAATTAGTTAACCACAAGTGCCTCGAGAAGAGCCTCGAGACGAATTGCCCCATCTGCTGCGAGTTTCTTTTCACGTCGAGTGAAGCAGTCAGAGCCTTACCATGTGGTCACTACATGCACTCAGCTTGCTTCCAGGTTTGCAAATCTCTTTTTTTTCCCTCATCAAACTAGAGTCCACTTTTCTCACCTTAATATAACAACAATTGCTGTTTCTCCGGTCTTTCAGGCTTACACTTGCAGCCACTACACATGTCCAATCTGTGGAAAATCATTAGGAGATATGGCGGTAAGAGGATCTCCTACCCTCAAGAGCATAATCTGCAAATATCATTTAGTTAACAAATTTTCATTCGTTTCTTGTTTCTCAAACTCTGCAGGTTTATTTTGGTATGCTTGATGCACTATTAGCTGCAGAAGAGCTTCCAGAAGAATACAAAGATCGCTGTCAGGTGAGAAACACTAAAACTACTGCTCCTCGTACTCTAATTCATTTGATGGCACACTCTCACACACGCAATTTTCAGGACATTCTGTGCAATGACTGTGAACGCAAAGGAACAACACGGTTCCACTGGCTGTACCATAAATGCGGTACCTGCGGTTCTTACAATACACGCGTGATCAAGTCCGAGACAACGGCCCCAGACTGCTCAACCTCATCCTGAAACAATGTGAGAGGTTTTTTTTCAGTTCTTGATGTGTTTTTTTATTTATTTTTACTTTCTGTCTCGCACTACAATGTGAAGAAGGTTTTATAACAAAAAGTCCGTTGATAGAATCTTTATTTGTTGTATAGTCTCTGAGATATTAAGATTTTGAAGAGTCTTATCTTAGGTTACCATACATTTTGTGCTTTGGGCAAAAGCCAAAACTCGTTTGTTTACCATTTCCCTCGTTCCTCCACATATCCACCATCTGTTTTTCTCTTTTTGCATAAGCTGAGACTTTTTCTTTCAAGAGTGTAAATAATTACAATTTTTAATGTAAAACTATTATTTCCCTCTGTTTTACCTTTTAAACTATTACTTCCTAGTTTTAAAAATTTGTCGAGGCAAAATACATCAGAGCTTGTTTATTTGTTTCCGTAAATTGATTGATTGTTGTCTTTTTTTTTTCACTATCAGTAGTAATCAAACTAAATTAGAAAGGTCGACAAAATAATGAACCGAATCGAAGAAGAGCGGGTGGAGTATCGGCAAAGCGTTGACGACGGGAGGATGCTCAGTGTCTAGGACTTGAAGGTTCATGTTCGCGCGCATTTTGCGGCACGATCGCAACATTAGTAACAACCCATCACTATAATTTTGTAATGAAAAGAAAAAAGCAGCGAGACAGTCAGACAGCCAACTATTATTACACATTCAATATTTCCTTCAAATGTATTCAAGTTTACTTAAGTAAAATAAATTGTTTTTTCAATCTTAATATAAAGGGTACCCTAATATAAACATACTATATATTTTTTTTTTTAAAAGCTAGATTTTGTTTTTAGTATTACAACCATCTTTAAATAAAAAACAAGTCTAGTGACAAATTTCGAGTGGTGATGATTTTGTGTATGGATTTGCTTCTATTTTTGAGTTACCCTATTTTTTTGGGTCAAAATCGAGTTTATCCCATTTACATATTCATCTTTAGTCATTGTAGACGATTTAAAAGGTCAGAGTTTACAGACATTAATTAATATGGGTTCCTGAATTGTGATTACGAACGTAATATTTGAATATGGCGTAATATTTTACACGAAAATATTCAAATTATACACGTAAATATTAGTTTACTAACAAAATAGAATTATATCCTACTAAAAAACTTCCCCCTAAATTTGAATATGGCGTAATATTTTTTACAACAAGTTGTGAAGCTGATTTTAGACGACGAGTCGGAAAAACAAACCATCGAGTACAACGTTACAATCGCGTCCCTAACTTTCTCTCTCTCTTCCTCTCCGAATTATTCGAACGGAAAATAAAAATAAAGTAAAAATTTCGTGAGAATAAATACACAACGAAAACCAAAAAAAAAAACTTTGAACTTGCTCCAAAGGAAAGCTCACCAAATTTGCAAGACGACGGAGAAAAGGAATCGAATTCTCAGAGTTTTCCTTCAATCAAATGGAATTCCCTCCTCCTCCTCCGCCGGAGAGATCCAAACGCCTCCACAACTTCACCTTACCTTATCTCCGATGGGGTCAGCAGAGATTCCTCAGGTGCGTCAAGCTCTCGCACCACCGATCTCCTTCTTCCTTCCCTTCTTCTTCTTCATCTCCTTCTCCCGATCGCGCCGCTCTTAGATCCCCCTCCGTCGCTGGAGGAGGAGTGGTAATCTCCGGAGGAGAGTTCGCTCCCGGAGACGGCAATCTCAGGCTCGATCTCAAGGTCTCCGTTTTGGGAAATGAAGCTAAAAACGGCGATGCGGTCGCTGCTGCAGCAGCTCGGCCGTGGAATCTGAGGACGAGGAGAGCTGCTTGCAACGAACCTGGGGACGAGCCGGCGAGGATCGTCGAGTCTTCCTCTCTTCGGAGACATGAAATTGGCGTGAAGAGAGGCTGCGAAGTCGTTGGCGATGGCGATGGAGATTCGCAGAAGAATGCGAAAGTGAAATTCTCTGTTCCTTTGTTGAGAGAAGAAATCGAAGAGGATTTCACAGCCCTAATTGGGAAAAGACCTCCGAGAAGACCCAAGAAGAGACCAAGAATGGTTCAGAAGCAAATGAATGTAAGTTAAAAATTCTCTTTTCGTATAACACAATTGATGTGTGATTGTTGCTTATTTTTATTTGAATTTTCCTGGAAAATGTTTGCAGACTCTATTTCCCGGATTGTGGCTAGCAGAGGAAGTAACAGCAGAGTCATACGACGTCCCTGAGGCTGCAGAAACATGAATTGTTTTTCTTCAAATTTGGGGTCAGCTTCTTCTATCCTCAAAAGAAAAAATGTATCAACTTTGTTTGTCTCTTCTTGGTTTTTTTTCCTACTCTGAAACTTTTAATTTTTCGTTGTAAAAAAAGGAAGAAGGAAAAATGTAGCAATGTGCCGAGTTTAGTGAATGAAGCCATTTTAAATTGGTTTCTTTAATATTCTTCTTTTGTTGTAAAAGAAAGAAACAACTGGAGTGTGTTTTTTTCCGTTACCAAAGCTAATTGTAATCTCCATGGCAATGGGAATCTCCAGCTGTTTCTGTTATCAATAATAATAATGCAGCTCTCTGCATCTTTCTTACATCTTTGTTTCCCTTTTTAGTATTGTTTTGCCTACTTTTATCAGTTAAAATTGGGGTTGTATATGCTTTTATGACTTTTTGTTAACAATTTGCTGAAAAACAATGTATCTGCAGTTAGATATATTGACAACTTTGCAGGGTTAGACCAAGCAAGCTTACAGGTTTTGGACAAGCTTCCTTTCTCTCTGGCAAGTCAAGTTACAAACAGTGTTCCATTTGTTGGACACCAGTGGTGAGACACTTACTATAGCTGCAATTACGTTTTGAATGATGTTCGTTGTGGACTGTTGTATTGTATGGATAAGAACAAAAACTATCTCGTTGTAGTTTTGTAAGATAGTGCAAGGATGATCATCATACGCTGATAATGATCTGAAATATATCTTGAGAAAGCTTCTTGTTCTTGCACTTTCTTGCTTCAGGGTTAAGAAAGCTGATAAGATGTCTCACCGGAAACACTTCACGGTGGCTTACTATAGCTTTCCCCAGCCGGTGAGGCAAGAAGGAGCCTCCGTGGTCCACGAGCAACATTAACGGTGTGGAAAACAGAGGAGATAGAAAGAATAAACGGTACGCTTGAAGTAGAGGTAATGTAGTTTATTCAACCCCTTGAAATCTAATTAGAGATTATGTTCTGTTTTTTTTTTTAATGTTTGGTTCTCTCAGCCATTGTTACCTGCAGTAGTGGCAGACCACATCCATTATTTTTTAATTGAAGTTTTCAACCTCTAATCCATAGACTAATGAGTTTCTAAACCTTTCCTTGATCATCTTCTCATGGAGACTTATTTTCCTCTGCATTCACAGGTTATCTAACGTTTTCAGGGCTTGACTTCGATCGTTCCCCAACAAGATTGGTTTGGCAGGTTTCATATTTCTCCACTAAAGGTTAGTAACTTTCATAATCCTGCATTTATCTGTTTTCTTGATTTCCATTCACTAACGTAAATGTTTTGGAAACTTTAGCAAAACAGACAATATTTTTTATCGATCATTATGATCTGCGCGGAAACAAATCACCAGCGGATTTCGTTCGCCGGCGACCTCGGCCAATCCGATAAAGCACCACCTATGGAACAACAACAACAACCACCACCAGGACCGGTTCGAAGAGACACAACTCTTTTAGATTCATCAAATCCAGATTTCGAGTTCCACATTTCAAGAAACTTCGATCCTGGAGACTCCGCACCAGCCGACGAGATATTCGCCGACGGCATGATCCTCCCGGTGCTTCCTTTCCAAGTAACCAACGCATCAGCCATGCCAAGACGTCTCTACAAGTACGAGCTCCCTCCTATCGTCTCCGCTCCTTCCTTATCATCATCTCCCTCCTCATCCTCTCTTCCTCCTCATCAGCCATTGCCATTGCCCCAACAGCATTCGAGAAGACACAGCGACAAGGAAACTACAACGGGAAGGGGAAGCGGGAACGGTGGTCGAGGGAGCGGCGCAAACTCGGACTCGGAGGTAGAGAAGTCGTCGAAGTCGTTTTGGAGTTTCAAGCGAAGCTCGAGCCTTAACTGCGATATAAAGAAGAGTTTGATTTGTTCTTTTCCTCGTTTGACAAGAAGCAACTCCACGGGATCAGTGATGAATTCGAAGAGGGCAATACTTAGGGACATTAACAAGCATAGCTCGCAGAGACATGGAGCCCCACGTCCAAGGGAAAATCCATCGTCTCATTTGTCTTCTCCTTCCTCTGTTTGCTGCTCGTATCAGTTCAGGCCACAAAAGCACGGAAAGAATGGCGGCAGAGGAGCAGGAGGAGGAGGAGGAAGCTTTCGGATTACTCCGGTGATTGGTGGTCCATCTCCGTTTGGGTTAGGATCGATCTTACGACTTTCGAGAGACAAGAAGGTGAAGAACAAGTAAACTAAAGTAGGACCAGTTTTATAACGAACTCATTGTCTTATTTGTTTTGTGGAACAATAAATAAACCCATGTAGTTACATTTATTATCTTTATTCAGCTGTGATGATTTCTTCAACAATATAAGATAATTGATATAAGTGGTAACGCAACTAATACAAAATTTTGATTGATCTCTCTCTTTTTGGTATTGTATGGAGAGATGTCTAATTGTGTATGATGTGCGTCACACTAATGTTACTTGAAATTTGGGTGCATGTCAAACTTGTTTTAAAATTAAGCATATGAAAACGAAAATAACATAGAGAAATGGATTAATGAGATGGATGGATCACTAACACTGGATATTAGTAGCTCCATTATTTCAACTCTTATAATGAGAGCCTAATATTTAAAAGCCATGTCTAACTGAAAAGTAAAAATCCTTCACTAATTTGCCTTCCATTGATCTAGATAATTTTTTTGATTTATATGTTTGGACATGTGACATGTCCCCATTTTACTCTTTTATTTATTTTTTTAAAATATCACTTTCTTATTTTCACCACAATATATCGTACACTTAGCGAAAAAACCAATGAACAAAAGTCTAAAACACAATATCAATCAAACAACCAACATTTCATTAAAGCATCAAAATTCATATGTATAAACCTAGATTTGCAAGGCTTTCAATTCCTAATAATCTTAATAAAGATTTTCATTTTTTTTTAATGATTTTTAGTTTTGATATGCATTTCAATTTGTTCTCTTTCATAGCAAACAGAGCAAGAGAGCACATAGCACATAGCATAGCAAAGAGCACTAACTAACTTTGTTTCATAATGTCATTTCACATGATCATCTCATAACTTTGTTTCATAATGTCATTTGAGCTGATCATCTCAGCCATAGAATCATAGGCTCAAATTGACCAATATGATGTCTTCAATTGGATAAGAACAATCTTCATCCGCATCAAAATTCATAAATTGAATTATTCAAAATAATCTCATGTAGAAATATGATTTTAGGAGTCTCATCAATGACAAACTATGATGGAGTTATATAGAATATTAATACACATGTAAGCCTGATTTGTAAAAACATTACTATGTCATATATAAACAATTGCTGCAATCAAATAATATAATTGTGATAACATTTAAACTTGATTGATAGCTTAATATTTGGTAATGATATTATGCTTGCACAAAAGTTACACAAACAACATTGAATGACTTGTAACTAAATTGCATGAAAACTTCATCTAAAAATGATGCATTCTTGAGAATCTGAATTGGAATCGAAATCAAAACCTCTTGAAAACTTGTTTTTATAATGTTTGGAAATAGTTATTTTTAGAGTGTCGATTTCCATTTTAGAACCAAAATCATGAAATCTCTTTGCATGATTTTTTATGATTAAAGGGTTAATTATTTTTTCAAATGATTTATACGCAATGCTTTTTGTTTGTTTTGTTCAGTAAAGATTGATATTGTTTTGCATACAATATCCACATGTCTAAATATTTTTCTGTTATGTTTTAAAATAAAGCTTTATAATATCAAAAGTAATAAGCTTACCTTCTTTTTTAAACCCAAAAAACATATTAACCACTTACAGTTTACACTTAACTTGTATTGTCAAAAAATAACTAATAGACCTTAAGGTGAAGATAACAACGAAGCCGTGAAAATCTGTGTGTAGTAGAATTTACAAGAATACAACTCATTTTTTGGGATTGTAGAGAGTAAGGAAGCCTTGAAATGAAGAAGATCGATCTTGCCACTGAGCGAGAAGCGTCTTGGACGTAACCAAAGCTTTCGTATCAAAATCCACACTCCGATCCTCGAAGCAAATCTCCACCGGAGACATATCATCGAACAACTCAAGCCCTGCTCTTCCTCCAACATCAACATCAACATCACCATCCTTGTCTTCACAAGGACGCACTTTGGAGACAAACGTAGAGAGTTCTTGATCTTCCCCGCCTTCTGAACCAGCCGTCTCTGTGATCGGAGAATAAGCAATGAACCGCTTTTTATCCTCACACATCTCATCGGTAAGTGACATGGTTGCCTTGTCTACGCCCGAGTTTGCCATCTGGCGTGCTGCTTTGGAGATTTGGTTGCACCGGTCAGAGAGCTCCACATCCGGGGAGAACTCTTGCTCTGACCTCATACAACCGTTACGGAACTCGTGTAACGTGAGGAGGACGTCAAGTGGAACAACAGGTCCAACGAGGTCAACACCAGGTTGCTCCTTCTTTGACCATTTGCTACTTCTGCTTGAAGGCTTCCTCAGGAAGAACGGTGGCAACTGTGGGAATTCAGGAACCACCAAGAACTCAAGAGAAGTCTTCTTCTTATCTAACAAAACATCCTCTAACTCAGAGTAGTTTGAGAACGCAAGCAACAAAAGCTCTATTGGTAAGCTTGACCATGACTCTCTCAATGCAATCTCCAAAACGCTAGTCTCCGAATTGATACTCTCGAAGACTGCTGTGACTGTAGAGGAAGCTCTGTGTCTACCGAATCCGCAAGAACCCAGCTTCTCGCATAACTCCTCATGGCAGGTTAAGCTAAAAGCATCATCACTCTTCTTGGAGCCAGATGGTTCTTCTCTCATCCTCGAGTCTATAAACTCCGAGAGAGCGCCTTTCGCGTGAGCAGAGAGGTACTCGAGTTCGAGATACTTGAACCGTTTCGGGAACTTGAATCCGTCGTCTTCATCAGGGAAGTACAATAAGTTCACCTCATCAGAAGATTCGCAGGGTGAATCTCTGTGAGTCACTACTTCTTCAAACCTTCTTGAAGCACGGAACTTGACTGCTTCAAGCTTCCCTGAGGATGTTAACCGAATCAAAGTAAACCCAGAGGACTCATCCGACTGAGAGAGGTACTTGTTTAAGACGCCAAAACCAAGAACAAGAGCTCTTCTCTTCTGCCAATCGATCCATTCAGGAAGAGACTCTTTCATTATCTCTTCTCTAATGAGACAATCTCCGCACTGACATTTCCCTGCTGGTAAGAGTAGATTGTTCGGAAGCTCCCACACACACAAGGAAGAAGGATCAACCGGAGAAGGTCCATAACAGAACATTTGAGACTCTGCATTCCAAAACGACCCTACCACAACGCAGGAGGTTGATTCATTGGTCTTACACCCGAGATCGGACAAGCTATAAACATCTATAAAGCAAGGCTTCTCAACATCATGCTGCCATTTCAACAAAGGCACACAAGATCTCTGATCACAGAGGAACAAATAGCTCTCTGAAGCAACAACAAACCTAAAACTGTCACTACCCGCTTTTGCAAACGCAACAAACTCTTCTCTTCCAAACAAATTCAGACTCTCAATCTCAACCAAAGATCTCACACTAAAACTTCCAGAGGTTTTTTCAATAAGAAAGACTTCATCAGACCGAGCAATGATAAAAGCTCCAAGCTTCCAACCATATTCACATCCTAACCAAGTCTTATTGTTCACTTGACCTTCCCAAGAAACTTTCATCTTGCAACCTCTGAGTTTACCACTACAATGTCTCTGATTCAGATCAAACAAGAAGATGTCACCGTTCTCTAGCAAGACTACACACTCTCCAGGAAGATGAGGGCTCCAAGAAGCGCTAGAGATGGAGCAACGCTTGAACTGCTTCAATCCGAGGTAGCTCAAAACCGGTCTGCTCTCTTGAGATTCTTCATCGTAACTGACACAGTACCAATGAATCGAATACAGTGAATAAACCATAACGTAACCCAATTCGATGATCGAAGAAGAAGACGAAGAAGAAGACTTGTACGCTCCCCAATTACTAATCGGTTTCACTAATATCTTCAAAATTCGCGAAAAGAATCGCTCTTTCGCCACAAAGACATCACCTTCGACTCGGAAACCTCCCGAATCTCCGGTGGAGAGAGCCAGGAAGCCGATTTGATCGAGATTATTGCCGGTGGGGAAAAACACCAAGACGGAATTTTTACCGGGGAAAGGTAGAAACTGGATGCGATTGTAGGAGAGAGCCCTAGCGGCGTCATCGTTCGGATGGGGAATACGGAAATTGGCCTCAACTGAGGAGGAAACCGACGGAGGGACGCCGGAGACGGCGAGAAATCGCGCGGGAGTTAGGTGAGGGATGCGATAGAGAATCGGAGGAGAGAGTACGGGAGAAGAGAAGAGGAGCTCCGAATCTGATGGGTTCGAGAAGAAAGGACCAATTGTGGATTCTCCGGGAGAGGAGATGAAGGATTTGCGTCCCCAGTCATCTACAACTTCCATAGTCGTGTTTTTTTTACCGGAGATCGGCGGCGAAAGGAGTTTCTCGACTAAATTATTGCTGGGTTTATTTGAGACTTAAAAGGGTTTATTTGAGACTTAAAAGGGTTTATTTGTTCATCGTTTGAACAAATAATTTACGAAGGCAAGCAACTTTAGAAGTAAACAAAAATTATAGAAAACAAATATTGCCATTGTTGTAACTTGTAACTTGTAAGAACAAATAATTAAGGGAGGTTGTTGGCAATGGTAGAGTTAGTTATTTTACTCTTCTCTAGTCAGACATGATTTGATCATAAAAAACTTTGAAACTGTGTTAAAAGCAAGGAAAGATTGGGCAGTTAAAAACATATGATAATACCAAATCTTTAACACTTCTTGCAGAGCTCTAGCAAATCTATCAAGTCGTTTGGACTAGAGAATCTAGACATACCTAACTCCTTCAAAAGTTTGATACCCTTTTGTTCTTGAGCATGTAGAAGCCTGAGTAGTTCCATTCTTGTATCTGCTAGGTCACCTTGGGCTTCCACAATTTCATCCAAAGTTTTTAGTCGCTTCTTGATGATATTACTGGTTTCAATGATAGATTTTCCCTCGAGCGAATTGCTGTACACAGATTCAAAGAGAGCTTCAAGAGTGATGAGTGAGTTGAATTAAAAAAAAAAAAAAAAAAAAAAAGAGCAAAGTCAATGAGAATGTGCACTAAGCAGGCCTCTGAAATATCACTCAGTTCAAAGGAGCATTCACAAGAAGATGACCAAGATAAATTAGAGATTACCTTTCGGATTTTCTTTTCTTGCCTCGAGCTGGCTCGATTTGAGCCAAACTTGGGAAATAATTAAGAATAGCTGGCCAGCATCCATTGATCTCACCCTCCAAATTCCACTTGTGTGACAATGTTATCCTCCCCAACAATGTATACCATGTCTTTGGTGTGTGTCTCCATGTCTCGGCTACCATCCGTCTCACAACACGACGACTTTCTTCTCCTCATCGAGCAAGAAACTCGCAGATCAAAACGTGTCAAGATCAAGGCTCAAATCCAATGCTAAGACCTTGCTCCACGACACACCTTTGTTGCTCTCACCAATCTTATCCGTCACCCATATCTCAGTCTTTGACCAAATCTCTTGTTGCAATAACACACAAAGTTTCTCTTCTCTAACAACTGAGAGACACGCAGTTTCGTAACGAGACTGATAGGGAAGAGGCAAGTATCCAAACTTCTCAGTTGCAAAATCAAACCTGAGCAAGGATACGCCAAGCTCCGGTTTTTCTTCATCTGAAGCGAACCAGTAAGTGTTTCCCTTGAAAGACACATCTGACATTGCATCTCAAGCCCGGCGTCTAACGCTATCAACCATCAAGAATCCTCCATGAATCAGTGTCAAAATCGTAGATTTCGATTTTAATAGGTCATAAATTACTATCAATACCTTGTATCTCCTAGTGTTGGATCTCTTGTCTTGATAGTATCCCAGAGCTAACTGGCCACTTCACCACCGGATTCGATCCACCTGGTTTGGCCAGTAAACGGGTTCCAAACCACGATTCTAGGTTCTGGTTCTTCGGAGACGCATAGCAACAAGCCGTCGCAATGAAATACTTCAGCTACATCGAATTGAAGGCATGATTTACTAGAACGCGGATCGAGCAGGCTAAGCTCAGCTTTAACCTCTACGGATGGAGGATGAACGTCAAGATTCAAGCTCATCTCACTAATCCTCAGTTTCTTCATCAACTTGAAACAAGTAAACTGCTTTGCGGATTTATCCACGTGTTTTCTTCTGAACGCCACATCGTCCAATAAACGGTCCCATTCCTTGCAACTATATCTTAATCGTTTCAGAGATTTGGCTGGAACACGACAGAGTATCTCCTCTTCCAAATTCCCCTGGAAGTTCTCTGAATTTCGCCATTGGACTCAAGAAAGAAAACGAAAAAAGTGTTAGAACATAAATATCAAAGTTGCTATTTTGGGATACTAGGTTTATATATATATATTTCTATATATATATTATATATATGAAGTCGGTTACAAGACTTCCTTTTCCATATTTGTTTAAGGAAAATTTACAGATTTGTTCACATCTACATAATCTTAATCATTTCCGAGACTTGGCTGGAACTGTTAGAAAATCATCATGCATGTAAAATATCATTTAAACATGCATGTAAACTTTATTTAACATGAACCCCAAAATCTTTAAACATCTAAATAATCACATGATAGAATAAAGAAAGTTAAGAGAATACCTCCACTCATTATGGTAGAAAGAAGTGTTTAGGAAGGTTTCTAGCCTTGAAGATGAAAGTTTGCTTTAAGTGTGAGATTTGGTTTCTCTCTCTTCCCTACAAACTTTATACTTTAAGTGTTGTGTTTTTCTTGGTGTATCTTTGTGATGGACCAAAGACATCTATTTATAGGGGAGGAGAGGACCAACATGCTCATCAGATTTTCTTTTAGTTTTTAATCTCAATTGTCCATCAAAATTGAGATTAAAGGAATAAGTGACAAGTGTTTGATGATTAATCCTTTAACACATTACATGAATGACACCTAACCTTTTAATGGTGCCACTAAGTGATTCACAAACCTTGATAGTGCCACTAAGTGACACATAAACTTAATGGTTCAACTGACACATAATACCTTAATGTGTCTTTGAGTGACACATAAACCTAAATGTTGTCACTTAAGAGTTCTTGATTCATGTATGTGTGACACATATCCCTCATTAGCTCAATTAGCATTAAACTTCTTAGTTCATTGGTTACCAAATTCTTTAACTATAACATTCCCTTAAAACTACTAACTATAAGACCACACTAATGTGGAATAAATTATTCCTTACATTCTCCCACTTGATCTATAGTATAGTGAATTACAGTTTTACTACGGGAAACATAAGGCCGACGTAAGATGTTATAATCTTATTTTCATTTGGTCATCATTATTGTTTAGCTAATCCAATAATCAATGAGAATCATGGCGGTTACACATTATTTTGCAACATGATCCCTTCCATGTACTACTACATTGATTATCTTCATAGGTAGACCATAAGAGAAGTTATCATAATGGTCTCTTTTATGTCTTCAAAGACATATTCTGTTACTATAATTCAACAAACAATGATGTGTGCACGTGAATACAGAATATATAAAAGATGTAAAAGTATTAACATTAACATACATTAGAGCTCAAGTCATGATCATATATAGACTTTACATAAACAGACAACATAATTAAGAGCTATCCTCAAGACCCATACTTTCAGCATGCTTCTTAAATGTCTTAGGAGGTAATGCTTTTGTAAATATGTCTGCAACCATGAGTTCAGTGCCTATGTGTTCAATGACAAACTTTTCTCTTTTAACATCTTGCTTCAATGATAGATATTTAAGGTCCATATGCTTGGCTCCTTTAGATATCCTATCATGCTTAGAGAAGAAGATTGCAGCTTGATTGTCACAATAAAGAGTTAAAGGTTTGTCAACAAAACTTAAGGCCTTAAACTCGGAGACGAATTCCGCAACCAAGATCCCTGAATCGAAGCCTCATAACATGCAACATACTCAGCTTCCATAGTGGATGTGTAAATCAACTGCGACTTTTGGCTTTTCCATGAAATGGCACCTCCGCAAAGGAGATACACATAGCCAAGAGTGCAATGCCTAGAATCATGGCATCCACCAAAATCTGAGTCCGAAAATCCAACCATCTGTGGATGTGTTGATTTTCGATATGTCAACATGTTATTTCTTGTTCCTTTTAGATATCTCAACACTTTCTTTGCAGCTTTCCAATGAGCAAGTCCTGGGTTACTTTGAAATCTACCCAACATACCGACTGCATGGCTAATATCAGGTCTTGTACAGACCTGAGCATACATCAAACTTCCCACAAGAGATGCATAAGGGTAATTTTGCATTTCTTTTGTTCCATTTCATTCTGCGGACATTGCTTAAGTTCAAGCTTGTCACCTTTCTGCATAGGAACATTATTAGAAGAACATGACATCATACCAAATCTCTCAAGAATTTTGTCAATATATGCTTTCTGAGACAATCCTAAAATTCCAAGTGATCTATCACGGAATATTTCAATTCCTATCACATAGGATGCCTCACCCATATCTTTCATCTCAAAATTCTTAGAGAGATACATCTTAGTCTCATGTAATAGACCAAGATTACTACTGGCCAATAGAATGTCATCAACATACAGTACCAAAAATATGAACTTACTCCCACTGATCTTGAGGTATATACATGGATCCGCAGCAATTTTCTTTGAAACCGAATTTCGTAATGATTTCATCAAACTTTAGATACCATTGCCTCGAAGCTTGTTTCAGTCCATATATTGATTTCTTTAATTTGCAGACCATGTTTTCCTGACCTTCAATTATGAAGCCTTCAGGTTGACACATGTAGACTTCTTCTTCTAAGTCTCCATTAAGAAAGGCAGTTTTCACATCCATTTGATGTAACTCAAGATCATATTGAGCTACTAACGCCAAGATAATTCTGAGAGAGTCTTTTCTTGACACGGGAGAAAATGTCTCATAATCAATGCCTTCTTTTTGATTAAACCCTTTGGCCACAAGTCTGGCTTTATATCGTTCAACATTGCCATTACAGTTGAGTTTGGTCTTAAAGACCCACTTACACCCGACCGCTTTGTGTCCTTCAGGCAATGGAACAATGTCCCAAACTCCATTCTTAACCATTGAGTCTATTTCTTCTTTACTGGCATCAATCCATTTATCAGAATTAACATCTTTCATGGCTTGTGAATAAGAAACCGGATCTTTAATATTCAATCTCCAGATTCTACTTGATAAAGCACATAGTCATCAGAAATAGCAGATCTTCTTGTACGAGTTGATCTTCTTAATGCTAATTCTTGTTGTGCTTGATGTCATTATTGACATATTTTCATCATGGAGTGGGTGATCATTTACGGGTTTTCTTCGTTGTTTAACGGTTCAACAACAGAAGGGTTCCCATCTTTATGAACTAAGGGTAAAGATATTTACCCTTATTTCTTGAATGATCACTTTTAACTTTATCACTCCCACTAATATCGCCATCTTCATAGAATCTGACATTATTGGTTTCTACAATTCTCGTACTATGGGTGGACAATAAATCCTATATCCTTTAGATTTCTCAGGGTAACCTATAAAGAAACCACTGACTGTTCTGAAATCTAATTCTTTTCATGTGGATTATATATTCTTGCTTCAGCTGGACATCCCCAAACTTGGAGATGAGACAGACTAGGTTTCCAGCCTTTCCACAGTTCAAAGGGAGTCTTTGGAACTGATTTGCTTGGAACCCTATTCAAGATATATACTGCAGTACGTAATGCATCCATCCACAAGGATATTGGTAAGTTAGTCCGACTCATCATGGATCTAACCATTTCCATATATGTACGATTACGCCTTTCTGCCACACCATTCTGCCATGGAGAACCAGGCGTTGTGTATTGGGCAAATTCCTAATTTTTGGAGAAGTTTGGCAAAAGGTCCAGGATGTTGTCCTGTTTCATCATATTTGCCATAAAACTCACCACCTCTATCTGACCTAATGATTTTCACTTTTCTATCTAATTGCCTCTCAACTTCAGTAATGAATGCTTGTACAGCATCCACAGATTGAGATTTTTCATGCAATAGATAGAGATAACAATACCGTGAATAATCATCAATAAAGGTAATAAAGTATTTTTCTCCTCCAAAACTTGGAACATCAAATGGTCCACAAATATCTGTATGTATGACTTCAAGAAGCTGTGTACTTCTTGTGGCTTCTCTTTTAGTGTGTTTAGTTTGCTTACCCTTAATGCAATCTATACATCTTTAGTATTGGTAAAATCAAGATTTGGAATGATCCATCTTTTACCAATCTTTTAATTCTTTCAATGGAAATGTGTCCCAATCTTTTATGCCACAAGAAATATGAATCATTAGTACATGTTTTACGTTTAAATCCACTTTTAGTATGGAGAGCCATGTGTTTCAAATTGTTGATCAGCCAATTTTAACATATAAAGACCATCAACTAATATTCCTGAACCAATACGATTAGAGTTCAGAAAATAGATTAAACAACCATCTCCTTGAGTTGATTTAAAACCAGCCATATCAAGTTTGCTTAATGAAACTAAGTTACGGGAAATAGAAGGTACATACAAAGTTTGAAATAAATCCAAACAAAACCACCTATCCAAAATGAGACGATAAGTGCCAATAGCTTCAACTGGCGCTTTGTCTCGGTTTCCCATCATTAAGTAGTTTTCACTTGCTTTATGGTTTGGATCGTAAGAATCCCTGCATGGAATTGTTACATGTACATTAGCACCGCTATCTATCCACCAGTTTTAGAAGAAACATGAGAAAGATTAGATTCGAAAAAGCTTACTGGAACCCATAGGGTTACCTTTCTTTTCGAACCATTCTCTTCTTTTAGTGCAATCTTTCTGAAAGTGACCAACCTTTTTGCAAAAGTTGCACCTATCATCTTTCTTTGCCTTTTTCTTCTCATTAGCTTGATCGAATCGCTCATTTGGGTGGTGCTCTTTTATGGCTCTTTTGATGCCTTTTCCCACTTTAGATCCAGCTCCTTGGACATAATTGGCAACTTTAATACCTTCACGGCCAAGCCTTGACTCCTCTTGGACCAACTTTCCAGTCAATTCATTAGACGTCCATTTTCATCTGTGGTATTATAATTGATCTGAAATGGTCCATACTGAGGAGGAAGGGAATTTAGGATAAACTGGACGAGAAATGAATCGTCCACACTCATCCCTAAATTCTTTAGTTTAGCCGCAAGGTTGGTCATTTCAATGCAATGTTCATGCATAGACCTTGTCCCATCATACTTCATGTTGTAAGATCTGCCATAAGTTTCCCTGCAAGGGATTTATCTGCAGTCTTAAACCGTTCTTCTATTGCTGTAAGATAAGCTTAGCTTTATCAGCATCTGGAAGGGAAGTTTTAATGTTACTTGCTATTGTCATCCTTAAGAACATGATGCTTAGCCTGTTTGCTTTCTCCCAATCTTTATGGAGAGCCTTTTCTTCCTCAGTACTATCATCTGTTAGTGGATCTGGTCTTCTTCACGAAGTGCCAAATCCAAATCTAGTACTCCTAATGTGAATTCAACTTTCTCTTTCCATTCTGAGAAGTTGTTTTCATTGAGGACAGGAACAACAATGCCATTGATGACAAATGATGAGGAAATGATGCTGCAATTTTAGATATATGTCATGACTTCCTGTTGACTATCTGGTGATTACTTTTTGGGAACCCTTACACGCCACCTTTAAGTGGTAAGGCACCTGCTAAAGGAAATAATCTTATTACTCCGCGAAGAAGTCATAGGCTCCTTCTAATATAATAGGTATCCGGGATGCAATTCCTACTTCTTATAATTCTCTGGTCAAGTCACCAGTTGTTAGAGTTCCCGCTTTATCTGTTCCAGTAGAACCTGCTGTGGACTGGCCTGCTACAGAGATGCATTTCCTAGAGAGTTCCTTCGGCCCTTTGTTTCCTTTCATTCATTCGTTTCCTAGATTAAAGGAAGGCTCAGTTTGTTGGTACCAGTTTCTTGGTATCGGCATGCAAAGGTTGGAATCTTTCCTAATTAGGCTTCAAAACACAACATATCATAATTCAATTATTGAATGCATATGACAAGAAATTATGGTGCTCCTGTGGGTAGTCATCATAATTCTTTTTCAGATCATATTATTTAAAAAAATATTTATAAGTGATGTAATTTAAAAGCTAAATTATTTGTGGATATACTTACTTTACACATTTACAAATCACCTTTTTATATAAATCTTTATAAGGTAAAATCACTGTGGTGATATCTTTAATCCTTTATTTTCACTTTAATAATCTCTATCAATTATGTATAGATTCAAAATCATGCAATAACTAATTTTCATGCAAAATTCATTTTACAGTAAATTTATCATGAGAAAATTCATTAAATCCTCTTAAACACAATTATCTTATTCTTCATGAATTAAAAAGATGTTTTGGAAAACCATTAGCTCTGATACCACATGTTAGAAAATCATCATGCATGTAAAATATCATTTAAACATGTAAACTTTATTTAACATGAATCCCCAAATCTTTAAACATCTAAATAATCACATGATAGAATAAAGAAAGTTAAGAGAATATCTCCACTCATTATGGTAAAAAAAAATGTTTAGGAAGGTTTCTAGCCTTAAAGATGGAAGTCTTGCTTTAAGTGTGAGATTTGGTTTCTCTTCTCTTCCCTACAAATTTTATACTTTAAGTGTTGTGTTTTTCTTGATGTATCTTTGTGATGGACCAAAGACATCTATATAAGGGAGGAGAGGACCAACATGCTCATCAAATTTTCTTTTAGTTTTTAATCTCAATTGTTCATCAAAATTGAGATTAAAGGAATAAGTGACAAGTGTTTGATGATTACTCCTTTAACACATTATATGAATGACACCTGACCTTTTAATGGTGCCACTAAGTGATTCACAAATCTTGATAGTGCCACTAAGTGACACATATACTTTAATGGTTCAACTAAGTGACACATAATACCTTAATGTGTCTTTGAGTGACACATAAACCTAAATGTTATCATTTAAGAGTTCTTGATTCATGTATGTGTGACACATATCCCTCATTAGCTCAATTAGCATTAACCTTCTTAATCTCTTAGTTCATTGGTTACCAAATTCTTAACTATAACATTCCCTTAAAACTACTAACTATAAAACCACATTAATGTGGAATAAATTATTCCTTACAGGAACGCAACAGAGTTTCTCCTCCACCAATTCCCCTGGAAGTTCTTTGAATCTCGCCACTGACTTCTCAATTTTCTTAAGTATAAGAATTAAACCGTATATCCCGGTTAATTTTCTTAGTTGGGTGTATTAACAAAACTTTGGTTTAATGGTTTGATGATCCTAAAAGGACTAAAACTAGTTGAAATGCTCTCACTTCTTTCTGATCTTTATTCATAACTGACAGAATTTCTTTAGTTGGGTGTTGATTCATTGTTAGTATACCATTAGTTATTACTAGATTAGGACCATTTTTATAACGAAGCATTGTCTAAGAGCTTAGGACCATTTTTATAACGAACTCATTGTCTTATTTGTAGAACAATAAATAAACCCATGTAGGTACAGAAAAACAAAAATTATAGAAACAAAAATTGCCATTGTTGTAACTTGTAAGAACAAATAATTAGGGATGTTGGCAGGGTTAAATATTTTACTCTTCTCTAGTCAGACTTTGAAACTGTGTTAAAAGCAATTAAGATTGGGCAGTTAAAAACATCTGATAATACCAAATCTTTAACAGTTCAAAGGATAATTCAAAGCCAAAATAAATTAAACGGAAAAAAAAGAAGTAAAAGAGATCACTTCATGCAGAGCTCTAGCAAATCTAGCAAATCTCTCAAGTGACTCAAGTCGTTTTTACTAGAGATAGAGATACCTAATTCCTTAAAATGTTTCCTACACATTTTTTGTTGAGCATGTTGAAGCCAGTCTAGTTCTATTCTTGTATTTGCTACGTCACCTTGGGCTTCCACATCTTCATCCAGAGTTTTCCGTCGCTTCTTGATGATATTACTGGCTTCAAGAATATTTTTCCCTTCAATCAAATGCCTCCTGTACACAGATTCAAAAAGGAAAAAAAGCTAAGAGCAAAGTCAATGAGAGAGCACTGTATGCTTTAAAGCATTTAACAGTAGTGGACTGTTAAAACATGTGATAAAACCACATGTTTATGAGATATCACTCAGTTCAAGGGATCATTCACAGAATACATGACCAAGATAAAGTATATAAACAAACATGTGGTTTTATCATTCACAGAAGATGACCAAGATAAAGTAAGAAATTAAAACACACATGGCCAAGATAAATTAGAGATTACCTTTCGAATATATTTCTTTTCTTGCCTCGAGCTTGCTCGATTTGAGCCAAACTTGGGAAATAAGTAAGAATAGCTGGCCAGCAATCATCGATCTTATCCACTCCAAATTCCAATTCTGTGACTATGTTATCCTCCCCAACAATGTATACCATGTCTTTGTTGCACAGGACTTCATTCTCGTCTACCCATGCGTCACACAACACGATGACTTTCTTCTCCTCATCGAGCAAGAAAGTCGCAGAACTCAAAAGGTGAAGATCAAGGCTCAAATCCAATGCTAAGACCTTTCTCCACGACACACCTTTGTTGATCTCACCAATCTTATCTGTCACCCATATCTCAGTCTTTGATGTAATCTCTTGTTGCAATAACACAGCAAGTTTCTCTTCTCTAACAACAGAGAAACACGAAGTTGCGTAATCAGACTGATAGGTGTTGAAATGTTGATTTGAAACAGAGAAGAAAAAAGATGAGACAAAACAGAGTAAGAGATTGAATATCTCTTCTCTTGTGAAGAAGATAAGAAACGAGGAAATTTGTTTTATTTCTCTGAAACTTGATTTGATTGTATCATACTACAATACATTACAAGAGTTTGTCTCCACATACTTATACTACAGGAAACATTGTGTTTAAGAGACACGACTCTTATGTAACGACACAACTTACAAACATGACTTTTTAGTAACTAACTTATGCAATAAGACTTTAACTTATACGAATGTGATTATAGTTCAACACTCCTCCTTAATCACATTTCGGTTTTACTCCAAGCTTCTCCCAAAGGTCTTCAAATCGTGATACGCTTAGTCCCTTGGTGAGTAAGTCTGCGAGTTGGTCTTCTCCTTTGATGTACTCCAACTTGATGATTCCTTCGGTGTCTTCCTTTGATCACCATCATATCTCTGTGACATCTCGTGGGTGAAACTCCTTCCCCACTTCTTCTCTGGTTATCTGTGTAACCACTTCCATGCGTGTATTAACAAAATTTTGGTTTAATGGTTTGATGATCCTCTTCATACTAAAACAAAACTAGTTGAAATGCTCTCATCACTTCTTTCTTATTTTTATTCATAACTGACATAATTTCTTTATGCTCATGCATGAGAGATGCAAATTCTTCATCCAGGATTTCGTGATCTTTAGATTAGGCTTTCAAGGCGAACAATGAAAACTCTCTCTCTCTCTCTCTCTCTCTCTCTCTCTCTCTCTCTCTCTCTCTCTCTCTCTCTCTCTCTCTCTCTCTCTCTCTCTCTCTCTCTCTCTCTCTCTCTCTCTCTCTCTCTCTCTCTCTCTCTCTGTCTCTCTCTGAGTTGTCATTTGTCAATAGATACTAACTGAAGATTTTAGAACCGTAATGTCACTTGTTTCTTGGGCATCACATTCTGCTATACATTTGCATTTACTGCACACTACTTCTTTTGGGTTCTCTTCCGCTATTATATCAGGCGATTCCGGATAAGTTTGCACACCTAAATCATCTACTTCTTTTGGGTTCTCTTCCGCTATTATATCAGGCCGATTCCGGATAAGTTTGCACACCTAAATCATCATCCTTACTTAATACTATTGAAGGCTTGCATTCTAAGTTTGCTTCCGGATAAGTTTGCACTCCCGGAACCAAGTCTTGTCATGTTGGAATATTCTCCACCTTGCTAAGTGAATTGTCATGGTTTGTGTCACTTATACAAGAACCAAGAGAATTGGCTATCAGAGGAGGCTGTACACGCCTTGATTGGTAGAGCTTTTAGAAGAGCATTAAGCTCTTTTTCATCCAATCAACTTTTTTTAAAAGAGTATTTAGGTGAGCATTTAGAAACTGGTACTACTCCCAAACTGCTCCTTCCCTCCCTGCTCTGAAAGGGAGCATTTCCAAATCATTGAGCTCAAAAATATTTAAAAAATCTTAAATAAATTATAATAAATTATATTTAATTTGGTAAAAAAATGAAACTATATTTATATCAAATTTACAATTTTATAATTTCGTAAATTAACATTAACAATAATGTATTATTCATAAAATAAATATTTAATGACATAAAAATTAAATAAATATAATTTAAATATGAAATAGTTACTAAATATTTTAAAAAAAAATAAAAAACAATCTTATGTTATTAATGAAAATATATATGATATATGGGCTAATGACTTTGGATGACTCAGGCCAAAGATTTTTAACAGATTCATACTTGTACGCGCATTCCAGGAAGTGATATAAGCTGCATTTGGTTCGCTGGATTGTTTCCATTATCCTTAGCACTAGAAGTTAAATTCACATTTGTGTATCATACCTTTTTCTTAAAAAAATATTGAATAGAGAGAGTGTTGAGAAAATTGGTGGTTCACTGGTTTTGAAGCTCTACTTGAGGACTGTAGATACTTAAAATTGTGGTTAATTTTTAGGTTGTTATGCAGAATTTGAAATGAGAGGAAGATGCAGTGCTGTCTAATACCGTTGCTTACTTAAATCTAGGAGCATTTCATGCCTTTCTTTTTATTACAAATCACATCTCATTGAATTAGAAAAGTAATTAACCAAGAAAAAAAAAAGAAGTAAAAGAGATTACATGTAGGGCTCTAGCAAAGCTCTTAAGTTGTTTCGATTACATATACCTAATTGAGCCTCTAGAAGCGAGTGTAGGTCTGATTGGTCGTCTTCCAGCTCAGACATAGCGAAAGGGATGATCTCTGCTAGTGCTAGGCCACGTATGGCTTCCACATCTCTGCCTAGATTATTTAGTCGGTTCTTGATGATATCTATGGCTTCAAGATCAGGTTTTCCCTCAATCAAATCATCCATCCTGGACACAGAAACAAGAGTATTACATAAGTATTCAAAGAAGAGCTTGAAATGTGAATGGGTGATGATTGATTTCTAGCTGTACAACATGTAAGGTTACAAGAATGAGTTGAATCAAGAGAACAAAAAAGCTCAGAGCAAAGACACAATGAGAAAGCTTTGTGTATGTTTTAAATCATTTTACCTTTCGAGTCTTTTTCTTTTCTTGCCTCGAGCTGGCTCAATTTGAGCCAAACTTGGGAAATAATTAAGAATAGCTGGCCAGCAACCATCGAACTCATTCACTCCAATTTCCACTTGTGTGACTATGTTATCCTCCCCAACAATGTATACCATGTCAATGTCGTCTGTCAATCTGTCACAACACATGACGACTTTCTTCTCCTCATCGAACAAAAAACTCGCATAGTCAAGAATCCCAAGACGAAGGCCCAAATCCAGTGCTAAGACCTTGCTCCACGACACCCCTTTGTTGCTCTCACCAATCTTATTTGTCACCCATATCTCAGTCTTTGATGTAACCTTTTGTTGCAATAACACAGAAAGTTTCTCTTCTCTAACAACTGAAAGACACGCATTAAGGTAAGGAGACTGATAGGGAAGAGGCACACGTCCAAACTTGTCAGTTGAATAATCAAACATGAGCAAGGATACGCCAAGCTCCGGTTTTTCTTTATCTGAAGCAATGCAGTAAGTATTTCCCTTGCAAGACACCATCTGATTATCATGGCGTCTACAAGCCCGTCATCCAACGCTATCACCATCAAGAACCCTCCACGAATCAGACTCAAAATCGTAGATTTCCGAATCTTGGTCATTAATATCATTCTCAAAGCTCAACACTTTGTATCTCAAAGCTCATGGTATCCGAGAGCAAAATTGCGGAATTTCTCGCCACCCAATTCGATCCACCTTGTTTGACCACTGAACGGGTTCCAAACCACGATTCTATCATAATCTTCGGAGGGGAATAGCAACAAGCCGTCGCAATGAAACACTTGATGTACTTCGAATTCAATGGCTGAGTTTCTAGAACATGGATCGAGCAGGCTAAGCTCACCTTTAACCTCTGCGGATGGAGGATCTCCATCCAGATTCACGCTCATCGGACAAATCCTGTAACTCTTCATTAAGATGAGACGCATAAACTGCTTTGCGCCTTTAACAGAGTGTTTTCTCACGAATCTCTTATCTTGAATAAACGGTCCCATCGTTTGCAAGTGGATCGTACCCGCTTCACAGATGTGGCCGGAACGCGACAGAGTATCTCCTCTACCAAATCCTCTGGAAGTTCTCTGAATTTCGTCATCAAGCTCGAGCTCTCAAGAAAGAAAACGGGAAAATTAAGGAGGCTCCTTCCTCAGTATATAACCTTAGATTCTAGGGTTTCGCCTCTTTCACCTTTCCTCATCAGAATATTCACTGAAAGAGAATCAATGAACAACACTCAACCGACCGAATCCTTTCTTTGGAACTTGTCTGAATATTGTCGTTGATAATAGTAAGGCGGCAAAGGCTGTCTCTTTATATAATTTAGGGTTTGCTTTTCACCATTAACCGAAAGAGCATGAACAAACAACATGTACCATCTACAGTAAACCGAGTTGAGAAACTGGTTAAGAATAATTAATTTACTATATGACCAAAACCGGATCTCCCGGTTTAATTTTGTTAGTTGGGTGTATGTAAGGAGAGATGTGTAATTTTTTTTCTAAAAAATAAATTTGGCCATTATTGTTGTGTTTAATTGGAAATGCTTGCGTGTAAATTTATGAAGTCGTGTTTGGCTACAGCTGGAGGGGTGCTGCGCGATGCCAACGGAAGTTGGATATGTGGCTTCGTGCTTAATATAGGTACTAGTAGAGAAAATTTAAACCCTAAATCCGAACCCGACAAAAAACCCTAATCAAAAAATTTAAAAACCCAAACTTTTTTAATAGGTCTAAACATGAAAATCCGAAATCAAAAAAATCCCGAAAACCCTGACTGAACAAAAAAAATCTGGAAACTTTTTCACCCGGAACCCGACCCCAATACCTAATCAAAATTTTAAAATACTCAATTTTTTTAATATATCTAAACCCGAAAACCAGAAATCTAAAAAATCCGGAAAACCCTAAACTGAAAAAAAAAATTGAACCTAACCCGAACAGAAATTTTCAAAGAAACCCGAACAATTTCTATATCTCTATATATATCTCTATAAAATTATGTCTCAGATTTTCACCCAAACCCGAACTTGTCTATAAAAACCCGAAAATCCAAAAAGCATATTCTATTGATTTGGAATTATCGTTAGATTATGTTAAGTTTTTTTTTTGCAGATTTTTAAGAGATGGAAAACGGAAGTTTTCTAAACCATCGGTTTATTTTAAGTTATTATTCTTGTATCCAAACAATTTTTTCCATTTATTCTTCTATCCAAATAGATTTTTCTCTTATTCTTATATCCAAACAACTTTTGTTTCCATTTATTCTTCTATCCAAATAGATGTTTCTCTAATTCTTGTATCCAAACATTAGAATGTACTTCTCAATTAATAATATAAAGATTTGCTCAGCACCATTAGCGGAATTATGGGGGGTCTACTACGGTTTGCTTATGGCGTGGGAGCGAAGAGTACCGAGACTGATAATAGAGGTTGAGTCAGAGATTGTGGTGAAGATCCTTCACTCGGGGATCAGTGATTCTCACCCACTCTCCTTCCTAGCACGATTGTGTTATGGCTTCTTCTCTAGGGACTGGATAGTCCGGGTTATGCACACTTACAGAGAGGCGGATCGAGTAGCGGACGGGCTTGCGAGTTTGACTTTCTCTTGGTTTTCACTTCTTCACTTCACCGCCTGCTGATATTTCAGTATTGTTGATGGAGGATGTTATTGGCTCTTCAATAGCTCGTGTTGTAAACGTTTAAACTTGTTTTTGCTTAATAATAGGGGACTCTTGTCCCCGTTCAGTTACCAAAAAAAAAAAAAAATTATGAAGTCGTGTAATTTTTCTGTTTGGTGCTCAAAAAAAGATTGAGAAATTGGTGGTTTACTAGTTTTAAAGCTCTCCAAAATATAGCATTAATCAATTTCTAGTCTGGATAAATAAAGCATGTATGCTGCAAGATAAAAGAAATAGAATGGATCATGCTAAGTTAACAAGTTTCTGTTTTCTTCCGTGGATTTAACATAGAGACCAAGCTTAGGGAACCCTAAAAGAAACCCTAAAGCAGAGAAAGATGCTTACAACGAGTGGAACTACAGCAAGTTCCGTCTATGGGTAGCTCACTGATTAAGACAAGATCTTTTAATCTTGAAACATCGATTTCTTGTTCTCAATGCAAGATCTCAGCTACAGGAAACAATGGAACTCTGTTTAACTCAGGAGTTATGGTGATCAAATAGAGCCTTGCAACTGTACGTTTGATTTTTTGATGGAACAAATAAACGAGATTGAGTCTTACAACGGAGGATATCAAGGTTACTTAAAGAAGTCTTCACATGATGGCATCGGATTCCGAAATATATGTTTTTTTTAAAGCATTTTTGGATTGTGGATGAAGATGTCGTAAGAAGCAAGAAAATGGAGCTGTCAGAGCCTCCAGTTCTTTATGTTCTTCATTACCTAACTTCGACATATTCGTTGGTTTCGCGACCGATATAGCTAAGCGAAGATGGTGGTAGGTCCACGATGCCATGCTTGCCACATGTATTGATACATCATCACACAACGAATTATTTGCCTTAAACCCTAATTAAACTCATAAACACATAGTTTTCTACACGTTGAGCAACCCTTTGCTTTTTCCAAATTTGCTAAACTTTTTTTCAGTTTTTCTTTTTCTAAGAAACTAATCTGAAATTTATGAGAGTAAACTAATATGAACGTGTGATGATGCTTGGCATCACGAGCTTCACCAATTCTGTTACTTGCCATCCAAGCAAAAGGCGTGTTAGTGTTCCTCTAGTGGGGAAACACCTTGAACTTGGGTATTAAAAATCAAGTTTTTGGGTCACATGTAGGGCTCTAGCAAAGCTCATAAGTTGTTTCGATTAGAGATATACCTAACTGAGCATCTAGAAACGAGTGTAGTTCTGATTGGGCGTCTTCCAGCTGAGACATAGCGAAAGGGATGCTCTCTCTTAGGCCACATATGGCTTCCACATTGTGCATCCTCCTCTATTTGCACTTTTAAAGCTGAGATTTCTGCAGCGAGTGCGTTTATGAATCTGGACTCTGCTCCTTTGAGTCCTGCTCTGTTGCTGATTTTGTAACATGGTCGATTCCTTCTCGGATCCTCCTGTGTCTTGCACGCAGTTGTATATGTTTCTCTTCCAGGTCTGCCTACTGTTCAATCATTCTTGCATCGCCATCTCTGCATTGCTTCCGTCAACTCTTCCGCACATCTTCCCTCGGTATCTAGTTCACGTTTCTGCGTTTCCATTAGCTTCCTATTGGTTTCTCAGCTAGAGAGATCCAGACTGACAACACATAACGTAAGCAAGGATCGTATACCAGCCGATTAAGCTGTGATATTTGAGAGGCCTGCTTAGTGCACAGCTCTTCCAGAGCCTTTTCTCTTCTGATAGATCCTGCTATAACCTTTTCCACTGCCTGCAAGTTGCATAAAACTTACTTTAAAGGAACTTGGAAATCAGACTTCTCTGACACTTCTGAGTTGTCAATAGGCACTAACTAAAGATTTGTAATGTCACTTGTTCCTTGGGCATCACAATCTGCGTTGCGTTTACTGCACACTACATCTTTTGGCTTCTCTTCCGCAATATATCAGCTTCCGGATAAGTTTGCACACCTACTACAGCAGCCTTACTTAAAACTATTCAAGGCTTGCATTCTAGAGCTTTGTAGGAAAACCCAAATGTAACAGTGAAAGTAGGTGTTCAACATCACAAAGGCTTCTATATTTTTGTCAGTTTCTAGAGGAGCACAGTTCTTGCAGAGCCATATATAATCGTACATGTTTTAAATCATTTAACAATGGACAGTCGTTAAAACCACATCTTAATCAAAAGAGATCATTCACAGCACATAGCCCAAGATCAATTAAGGAAACACACAAAAGAAAAAAAAAGAATAAGAGAGACAAGGAGATTACGTGTCGAGTCTTTTTCTTTTCTTGCCTCCAGCTCGCTCGATTTGAACCAAACTTGGGAAATAATTAAGAACAGCTGGCAAACAGCTATAGTACTCACCCAGTCCAAATTCCTTTTGTGTGACATTATTATCCTCCCCAACAATGTATACCATGTCTTTGCCGTATCCATCGTCATTCTCGTCGAACCATCTGTCACAACAAATGACGACTTTCTTCTCCTCATCGAACAAGAATGCAAGAGGCAACTCCAGATTATGAGGCCTCAAATCAAATTCTAAGACCTTGCTCCAAGACACACCTTTATTGGTCTCACAAATCTTACTTGTCACCCATATCTCACTCTTTGACCAAAAATTTTGTTGCAACAACACACAAAGTTTCTCTTCTCTAACAACTGAAAGACGCCCATAGTAACGAGGCTTATAGGGAAGAGGCACACGCCCAAACTTGTCAGTTGCAAAATCAAACGTGAGCAAGTATACGTCGAGCTCCGGATTTTCTTCATTGGCAAACCAGCAACTATTTCCCTTGAAAGACACCATCTGCTCATCTCCTTTACAAGCCGGGCGTCCAACGCTATCACCATCAAGAATCCTCCATGAATCAGTCTCAAAATCGTATATTTTCGAATTCCGGTCATCATAAACGTTAAAATAGCTTAATACTTTGTAGCTCCTAGTGTTGGATTTCTCGTCTTGATAGTATCCCAGAGCAAACTTGCGGCTTAACACGCCACCGGATTCGATCCACCTGGTCTGACCAGTTAACGGGTTCCAGACCACGATTCTATAACATTGGGAGATGCATAGCAACAAGCCGTCGCAATGAAACACTTTGTATATACAGAATTCAAGGGCTGAGTTTCTAGAAAGCGGATCGAGTAGGCTAAGCTCACCTTTAACCTCTACGGATGGAGGAAGTCCGTCAAGATTCACGCTCATCTCACTAATCCTCATTCGCTTCATCAACATGAGACACGTAAACTGCTTTTCGGATTTGTCAGAGTGTTTTCTCACGAATCTCTTATCGTTGAATAAACGGTTCCATTGCTTGCAAGTATATCTTAATCGTTCCAGAGATTTGGCTGGAACACCGACATAGTATCTCCTCTACCAAATCCCATAGAAGTTCTCTGAATTTCGCCATTGATCAAGCTCGAGCTCTCAAGAAAGAAAATGGGAAAAGGAGGCTCCTTAGGTCCTTTCCTCAGTGTATAATCTTTCCCTTTTTTTCACCGTTCCTCTTCAGAACATTCACTGAAAGAGAATGAACAACACTAAACCGTGCGACCGAATCCTTTGGAATAAAGCGGCAAAAGCTGTCTCTTTATATAATTTAGGGTTTTGCTTTTCACTATCAACCGAAAGCGCATGACCAAATCTACAGTGAACCGAGTTGATAAACCGGATCTCCCGAATAATATTTTTGGTTGGGTGTATTAACAAAATTTTGGTTTAAATGGTTTGATGATCCTCATCATACTAAAACTAGTTGAAATAATGCTCACTTCTTATCTTATCTTACTTTATTCATAACTGACGTAATTTCTTTAGTTGGGTGTATAAAATAATGGGGGTTTTTAGTAATAAAGCTATTTGGGTGTATCAACAAAGTCCATAATTCCATGTATATACATTTCTTATATTTATTTAGTTGTGATAACTCGCATAATTTTGATTGATGTCATATTGTCATCGATCAATTAACCTATATTTTTGTATTGTATGGAGAGATGTGTAATTGTTTTCTAAAAAATAAATATGGCCATTATTGTTGTGTTTAATTGGAAATGTTTGCGTGTAAATTATGAAGTTGCGAAATTTTTTTGTTTGTGTGCTAAAAAATACAGAGAGACCAAGCTTAGGGAACCCTAAAAGAAAAGCTAACGCCACAAGTCCTTCCTTCCGCTCACATTTACGTCTGTGGGGCAATAGAGGCGGCTCAGAGCATAAGACAGCCAGCCCGGTCCAGCGAGAGACGTCGTAATCCTCGTCGTTGACAACATCAGTGGTTATCACCGCAGTGGACTCTAAGCTGGGGGTTGGCAATTTCGGACGGTACAAGAGAATTCGAAACCCTAAAGCATAGAAAGATGCTTACAACGACTGGAATTACAGCAAGTTCCGACTACGGCAGCTCACTGATTACGATTAACAACAATATCTTTTAATCTTGAAACATCGATTTCTTGTTCTCAATGCCTGAGATCTCAGCTACAGGAAACAGTGGAACTCTGTTTAACTCAGGAGTTATGGTGATCAAATAGAGCCTTGCAACTATACGTTTGAGCTTTTGATGGAACATATAAACGAGATTGAGTCTTACAACGGAGGATATCAAGGTTACTGAACGAAGTCTTCACATGGTGGCATCGGATTCCGAAACATATGACTTTTTTAAAAGCATTTTTGGATTGGGGATGGAGATTACGTAAGACGCAAGAAAATAGAGCTGTCAGAGCCTCCGATTCTTTATGTTCTTCATAACCTGGGATGGGAATGAAGCCGTGACTCTGTTACCGTGACTACTGACTACGACTGTAACTTGAACTCCGACATTTTGGTTGATTTCGCGACCGATATAGCTCAGCGAAGATGGTGGATGGTCCACGATGGCATGCCACAGGTATGATAGTGATACATCACACAACGACATCTGAAATTTATGAGAGTAAATGACCATGGTTTATATGATGAAAGTGTGATGATGTTTGGCAGAAGGAGCTTCACCAATTCTGTTACTTGCCATCCAAGCAAAAGGCGTGTTGGTGTTCCTCTTAGTGAGGAAACACCTTGGACGAAAACCAAGTTCGGTTGATATTGGGCTTATGGTTATAAGTCCTCTTAACCTAATCTTTGTTTTAAGGAGACAAGAAACACATTTAGTAGAGAAACAAATTTTGGAGAGGCAATAAAACAAAAGAGAAGAAAAACAGTTTTTGTCTTGAGTTTGTCAAGACAACATTTGGAGGCATCAAAATCTAATGGTGCCTCCATTGGAGCAATGTTACTTGCTTAACTCTATGAGCGTTTCATGTTATTTTACAAGTCACTTGTCATTAATTAAATTAGAAAAGCTAAAAATTGAGCATAAGTCTCTATTCTTTATAAACAACTTTAAAGCTGTGTTAAAACAAAGAATACATCTGATATTAATAAAATATCATTATCCAGAATACATTAACCAAGATAAAAAGAAGAAGTAAAAGAGATCACATGTAGGGCTCTAGCAAAGCTCTTAAGTTGTTTCGATTAGATATACCTAATTGAGCCTCTAGAAGCGAGTGTAGTTCTGATTTGGCTTTTTCCAGCTGAGACACAATGAAAGGGATGCTCTGTGCTATGCCATGTATGGCTTCCTCTTCTCTGCGTAGACTTTTTAGTTCGTTCTTGATGGTATCTATGGATTCAAGAGTAGGTTTTCCCTCGATCAAATCCTCCATCCTGTACATAGAAACAAGAGTGAATGAGTGATGATTTCTAGCTGTACAACATGTAAGGTTAGAGCAAAGACAATGAGAAAGCTTCGTTTAACAATGGATAGTTAAAACAGAGAGAGACAAACTAGTGAGATCACCTTTCGAGTCTTTTTCTTTTCTTGCCTCGAGCTGGCTCGATTTGAGCCAAACTTGGGAAATAATTAAAAATAGTTGGCCAACATCCATCGAACTCACCCACTCCAATTACCACTTGTGTGGCATTGTTATCCTCCCCAACAATGTGTACCATGTCTTTGTCGTTTGTCTCGTCATTGACGTCGTAACATTTTTCATAAAACGTGACGACTTTCTTCCCCTCATCGAACAGAAAACTCGAATAGCCAATATATATACATGCTCAAATCAAATGCTAAGACCTTGCTCCACGACACCCCTTTGTTGGTCTCACTCTCACTCTCGCCAATTTTTTTTTTTGCCTCTCTTCTAAATGTGTTTCTTGTCTCCTTGACACAAAGATTAAATTAAGAGCACTCATAACCATAAGCCCAAAGCTTGAAATTGAGCATTAATCTCTATTCTTTATAAGCATCCTGCTCTTTACGACATATGATTTGATCATAAAACTTTAAAACTTTGTTAAAGCAAAGAATATTGGGCAGCTGAAAAACATCTGATAATACCACATCTTAATAAAATATCAGTTCAAAGGATCATTATCCAGGATACATTACCCAAGAAAAAAAAAAGAAGAAGTAAAAGAGATTACATGTAGGGCTCTAGCAAAGCTCTCAAGTTGTTTCGATTAGATATACCTAATTGAGCCTCTAGAAACGAATGTAGTTCTGATTCGGCGACTTCCAGCGTAGACATAGCGAACGGGATGCTGCTCTCTGCTAGGCCACATATGGCTTCCACATATAGCATTAGTCGGTTCTTGATGGTATCTATGGATTCAAGAGTAGGTTTTCCCTCGATCAAATCCTCCATCCTGTACACAGAAACAAGAGTGAATGAGTGATGATTTCTAGCTGTACAACATCTAAGGTTAGAGCAAAGACAATGAGAAAGCTTCGTTTAACAATGGACAGTTAATACATAGAGAGACAAAAGGAGATCACCTTTCGAGTCTTTTTCTTTTCTTGCCTCGAGCTGGCTCGATTTCAGCCAAACTTGGGAAATAATTAAGAATCGCTGGCCAACATCCATCGAACTCACCCACTCCAATTACCACTTGTGTGACATTGTTATCCTCCCCAACAATGTACACCATGTCTTTGCTGTTCTCTTCGTCATTGGCGTCGACCCATCTGTCATAAAACGTGACGACTTTCTTCTCCTCATCGAACAAAAAACTCGAATAGTCAAGATTTAGGCTCAAATCAAATGCTAAGACCTTGCTCCACGACACCCCTTTGTTGGTCTCACCAATCTTATTTGTCACCCATATCTCAGTGTTTGATGCAATCTTTTGTTGCAATAACACAGAGAGTTTCTCTTCTCTAACAACTGAGAGACACGCATAACTGTAACGAGATTGATAGGGAAGAGGCACACGACCAAACTTGTCAGTTGAATAATCAAACGTGAGGACGGATTTGCCGAGCTCCGGTTTTGCTTTATCCGAAGCAAGGCAGTAAGTTTTTCCCTGGAAAGACACCATCTGATTAGCGCATCTACAAGCCCGTCGTCCAACGCTATCACCATCAAGAATTCTCCAGGAATCAGTGTCAAAATCGTAGATTTCCGAATCTATACCATAATAAAAGCTCAACACTTTGTAGCTCCTAGTGTTGGATCTCTTGTCTTGATGGTATCCCAGAGCAAAATTGCGGAATTTATCGCCACCCAATTCGATCCACCTGGTTTGACCAGTGAACGGGTTCCAAACCACGATTCTAGGTTCTGGTTCCTCGGAGGTGCATAGCAACAAGCCGTCGCAATGAAACACATGAGGTACATCGTATTGGAAGGCTGAGTTTCTAGAACGCGGATCGAGTAGGCTAAGCTCAGCTTTAACCTCTACTGATGGAGGATCTCCATCCAGATTCACGCTCATCGGACAAACCCTCATCTTACTCATCAACATGAGACACATAAACTGCTTTACGGCTTTAACAGAGTGTTTACTGACGAACGTCTTGTCGTTGAATAAACGGTCCCATCGTTTGCAAGTGGATCGTACCCGCTTCACAGATGTGGCCGGAACGCGACAGAGAATCTCCTCTACCAAATCCCATGGAAGTTCTCTGAATTTCGTCATTGATCGAGCTCGAGCTCTCAAGGAAGAAAACACGGGAAAAGTATATAAATCTTAGATTCTAGGGCTTTGTCTTTATCACCTTTCCTCTTCAGAACATTCACTGAAAGAGAGAATCAATGAACAACACTCAACCGAACCGAATCCTTTGGAACTCGTCTGAATTTTGTCGTTGATAATAAGGCGGCAAAAGCTGTCTCTTTATATAATTTAGGGTTTGCTTTTCACCATTAACCGAAAAAGCATGAACAAATAAGAATATAAGATGTACCATCTACAGTAAACCGAGTTGACAAACTGGTTAAGAGCAATTAATTTTGTATAAGAACTAATTAAGCCGGATCTCCCGGTTACTTTTTTGGTTGAGGGTATTAACAAATTTTTGGTTTAATGGTTTGATGACCCTCCTCATACTAAAAGTCTAAAACTAGTTGAAATGTTCACTTCCTATCTTAATTCAGCTGTGATAACAAACATATGTTTTAGTTGGGTGTATTAACAGAATCCATGCATAATTTTGATTTATGTCTTCGAATCGATCTAATATTCTCTCTCTTTTTTTTTGTATTGTATGGACAGATGTGTAACTTTTTCTACAGAATAAATATCGCCATTATTGTTGTGTTTAATTGGAAATGTTTGCGTGTAAATTTATGAAGTTGTGAAATTTTTTTGTTTGGTTGCTAACGAAAAAGATTTAATAGAGAGAGTATTGAGTACTGATGAGATTGAGAAATTGGTCGTTTACTAGTTTTGAAGCTCTCCAAAATATAGCATCAATCAATTTCTAGTCATGAGCTTCCTATATAGCTTCTTGTGAGCTCTCTCTTCCTCTTGGCATCAAAGGTGAAAAAAGAAACCTTAATATTACTTGTATCGATTTGAAAATGCAACAATTTTTTTCATTCCGCTCACGTTTACGTCTGTGGAGCAATTCTTCAGAACCTTACGACGACTGTATTTGGTAATAGACACGCGTAGGGACAAGATTGCTTTACAATTGAGAAAAGTCAACGGGTTTAATGTGAGCCGTCTAAATGTGCTGACTTGTATTAAAACCAAGTTTTGCATCACGTGTTAATGACCGTGTCTTAATGAGACCGTGAACGGATATTACTCGGAGCCTTTCTTACCATCTTCCGTCGCCCTCTCCTCCTCCTCCTCCTCCTCCGTCGTGTTTCTTGCTTCTCTCGTCGCGTGTTTCCTTTTTCGATAAACCCCAAATCAAGGCAGAATCTGAGAATCGAGAGGGACCCATTCGATACAGTTTCTCGACGAATCAAGAGTCCTAAATTGATCGATAATTTGACAACGAAGAAGAAGCGTACGGGTTGTGGGCAAACACTTCCGAGGTGGCCTCGCTGCGATCTTGGTGAAAGAAGAAAAAAAAACAGCTGTTTAGGAGTTAATTTCAGGCGTGTTTGTGGGGAATGCTGTCGAAATCCCCAACGCTTTTCTCTCTATATTTGAGGTGATTTGATTAGTCTTGTGTTAGTAATTTGGATTAGCTATGATGAAAAGCAGTAGAGAGATCACATAGGAGTCTATGCAGATAAAAGCTTTGCATTGTGCTCAACTCTTGCAATCTCGTATAATTGGTATCATCATTCTGAATGAATGATTTTGTTGATTGTATGAAAAGGTAAAGGAGAGCTTGGTGTCATGTCGAGCAGCAAGACAAGGAATATGCTGGAAGGTTTGGTGAAAGATACATCTTTCAAATGGTTGCTCGGGAAACAAACTTCTTTCGATGAAGAAATCGAGGAAATGGGAAGATCTCCTTCTGCTGGCACCAACTGGATCCCTGAGCTTTCTCCTGTCGCCAATGTCGTTGTCCGCAGGTGTTCAAAGTAAGTAATTTTGCTAGGCTTTTAAGCCTTTGATCAAAGATAAAACTACTTTTTTCTTTGGGGTTTTAAAATTTTTATGTCCGCTTCTTGATATGATACTGGAATAATTTATAACCGAGCCTGTATTTGGACATAAATCAATGAGGTTAACTCTATGCTATTGAATGCAGAATACTCGGAGTTTCTGCAAATGACCTGAGAGATAGTTTCAAACAAGAGGCATTTGAATCTCTGAAGCAGCCCTCTCTATTTGCTAGGAACTTTCTAGAGTACTGTTGTTTCAGGGCACTTTCACTTTCTGTGGGAGTGACAGGTCATCTAGGCGATAAAAAGTTCCGGCGCCTAACCTTTGACATGATGGTCGTCTGGGAAGTCCCATCTGTTTCTAGCCAGGCTTTACTCAGTGTAAGTCTCCTTATTTTTATTTCTGCAATCCTTATAGAGAATCATTTCTTGATCATCTTTTTGCTTTGAAACAGGTAGATGAAGATGCAACAGTGAGTTTAGAAGCCTTCTCACGGATAGCACCAGCAGTTCCTATAATTGCTGATGTGATCATCTGTGAAAATCTGTTTGAAATGCTTACTTCATCAACGAGTGGTCGGCTACATTTCTCTGTTTATGACAAGTATGTACACGGACTTGAGAGGTAGAGTTTCTATCTTTAAAAGTTACAACCCCAACTCCTTTGTCTTGAATCATTGTGTAGACAGTTTTCTTGTCTTTGGTTTGCAGAGCAATAAAGAAGATGAGGACTCAGTCCGAATCATCTCTGCTTTCTGGTGTTCGATCAAAAAGAGAGAAGATTCTTGAAATAGACGGGACTGTTACTACGCAACCAGTTCTCGAACATGTTGGAATATCAACATGGCCAGGTATTGTTTGTAACTTCTCAACAGTCACGGTCTTGAGTATGTCTACATACATACCGCTCACATTTGTCATGATTACTATTCAGGTCGCTTGATCCTGACAGACCACTCACTCTATTTTGAGGCCTTAAAGGTCGTGTCTTATGACAAACCAAAGCGTTATGACCTATCTGAAGATCTAAAGCAATTAGTTAAGCCCGAGCTAACTGGTCCTTGGGGCACTCGGCTATTCGACAAGGCCGTTTCTTACAAGTCTATATCTCTGTAAGGCCATTGAATTGATCATTAGCTCTTGGACTGCTCTGTTTTTGAATGAGACCAATTAACAGCTTTTATTGGCTCTTTTCTTTTCTAGATCAGAACCGGTGGTAATGGAGTTCCCTGAGCTTAAAGGACACACACGTCGTGATTACTGGCTCGCTGCGATACACGAAGTGTTATACGTTCACAGGTACATAAACAAGTACAAGATCACAGGTTTGGCAAGAGACGAAGCACTCTCAAAGGCTGTGCTTGGCATCATACGTGTGCAAGCTATCCAAGAACTCAGTTTGACAAACTCCATGCGTTACGAAAATCTTCTCCCGTTCAATCTCTGTGATCAGCTTCCTGGTGGAGATCTGATTCTTGAGACGCTTGCTGAGATGTCTACTTCAAGAGAGCTCCATCGATCAAATAAACCAAAAGATACAGGTTACACTACTTCTTGTCAAAGATAATTTATAACTAATGTCGTTTTCTTGATCATGACCAAGATTGTGATGACAAGAAGTTAATGTCTAGTGTATATGTGATTTATTTATCAGGGACATTACACTCTTCAGCTTCAGATATGGTTTCACAGCTGGGTTGTGTGTTTGGAGGATCGAGTCCAAGGAGCAGAACGAGTGAGACGAGTAGTCTTGTGGTGGGTGAAGTAGTGGTTGGAGATGTGAATCCATTAGAGAGAGCAGTGAAGGAGTCGCGTAAGAACTACGAGAAGGTAGTGCTTGCGCAAGAGACGATTAATGGAGTTAAAATGGATGGCATTGACACCAACATAGCCGTCATGAAGGTAAAGAAAACAGAAGAACAACATTTTCTAATGGGAAGATTTTTTATTTATATAAAATGTTAAACTGCGTTTGTGTTTACAGGAACTGATGATTCCGATAGTGGAAACTGGGAACTTGATACTGTCTCTGATATATTGGGATGATCCCATGAAGTCTATTGTTTTCTGTATCTTCACCAGTTTCATAATTTGGAAAGGATGGGTTGTTTATATCTTAGCTCTGGCGTCTCTCTGCTCTGCAATGTTCATGGTTCTGACAAGATGTATCAGCAGAGAAAAGCTCATGGTTGAGCTGAAAGTAACTGCTCCTCCTCCAATGAACACGATGGAACAGCTTTTGGCGGTCCAGAACGGAATCTCGCAGCTCGAACAGAACATTCAAGATGGAAACATAGTCCTCCTCAAGTTCCGAGCTTTACTATTCTCTCTTTTTCCTCAGGTTTGTCGGCTTTTTTAACACAAACGGTTTCTCCTACTCCTTGTGTATAACCGCAATTTAAAACCGCTATTTCAGGCGAGTGAGAAGTTTGCGTTTGCGATGGTGGTTGTAGCTATGTCAATGGCCTTTGTTCCAGGACGATACTTGATTCTGGTGGTGTTTGTGGAGCTTTTCACAAGATACTCGCCGCCACGGAGATCGAGCACGGAGCGGCTGGTGAGGCGGTTGAGAGAGTGGTGGTTTAGTATACCGGCGGCTCCTGTGATCCTCCAACATGACAAGAACGATAAGAAGAAGAAGAAGCAAAAATGAGGAAACGGCCGTTTTTATAGTTGCACAGGTGTACTTGTATGTACATACTTGATTTTTATACTTACCTATAAATGTATTATGTATGTATGTATCATTTTGTGTGTAAATGAGTCGTGAGCCAAATCTTGAGCTGGATAAAAATTTTGACAAGTTTTTCAGGAAGTTTTTGGCCTGCCTGAAAAGTTTTATGCTAAGTACATTATATACTAAAGATTTTATGTCATGGACTGGTCTGATTTCTTCAGGACCTTTTTCTCTGTGACCAACATAAGACTCGCTTGTTATATACAGTACCATGCCCAATCTCGGCGGTAACAGAGTAATAGTATTGGTTGTACGTACAAGCACGCTTTTCTTACATATTTGTCCCTTTCTTTATAATTTGAAATTACTTTTGAACTCAAAAACGGATTTGAAAACCAAATTAAATTTTTATCAAATCCAACTGTATTAAAAAATATAAACCAGACGATAAAATCAGATTGTCCATAACAGAAAAGGTATTGTGAAATTGGAAAACTGAACAAAAGTGAAAGAGTTTTGTGAATTGTGATGATGCCAAAGAAAGAAAAAAAAAACACTATGTGAAGTAAGAAATGATCACAGAGAACATTGTTTCGAGTACAAGTAAACGGATCATAAATTCATAACTAATGCCAAAAAAAATAAGTAAACTAATGCCAAAATTTATTAGTCGAACAAAAATTTATTTTCCTGAAGAGGAAAAAAAAAAAGAAATAATGTAATTTTCTCATTTGAAACGACGCCAGAATGTTAAAAGTCGCGAAACTCCGTCAAGCCATCGAAGCCAGAAGAGGAAGAAGAAGAGAAAGAGCTTCTCATGTTGGGCGCGAAGTAAAGCGGATCATCAAAACTCGCAAACGGTTGATTCCCGCACAGAAAACTATCGGCTGGATTCGCCGGCGGGAAAATCGGAAACGCCGGGAAGTAATTGCCATAGTTAATCCCGGTCGCATCGTACATCGACGGAGCCGGTGGCGGCGGCGGAGGAGGATGAGGTGGTGGAGGAATAGACACCGATGAATACGGCAGAGACGAATTGACCTGTCCATGCTCTCCCATGTTCTCATCCGTTGTTATCACCGACGACGATTCGCTATCTTCGCTAATCGTCGCATTGTTGAAGAACATCCCCCTTCCGGTACCGGCTCCGGCGCCGGAGTAGCTTCTGTTGTAGCTGGTGTTGGCGCCACCGCTGCGATTCCGATTCATTTTTCTGTCGACGGTCAGATCGGAGACGCTCCGGTTGATTGACTTTCCTCCACGATCCGTTGTCGCGTTGCCGCCGGGATCTTCGTCGGAGCGGGACATTCCTGTGAGTTTTTGAACAAGAGCCATGAAATCTTTTGGATTAGTGTGTATGATTTTGGGGGTGTTTGTGTAGATGATCACCGGCTGGCGTGGCTTCGCCGCGGAGGACGAAGACGATGGAGATAGTGGCTTTTTGATGACGTGAGAGTCTTTGTTAAGTTTCAGCAACGGAGACGGCGACGGCGACGGAGGATATACGATTCCGACACCGGCGCCGGAGTTGTCATTTGGTTCTCTCTTTGGATGGTGGGGATGATGGTGGTCGTTGAACGTTGAGCTCATTTCATATACTATATGAAAGAAAAAATCAAAGAAGTAATGTTTTTTGCTTAAAGTATAAATAAATAATGATGAATCATAAGTTCATAACCAAAAACGATTATTGAAAGTAAAAGAAAATGACAAAATTTTGATGATTCATTATGGATTTGAGGAGTTGTGGAAGTGGAGAGGAGGAGTGGCTTTTATAAGCTTTTTATTTTGTCTCTGCCTGTGATCCACGTGTATTTTGCCTCGTGTTCTAAGTGGATACTTTGCGCCACGTAAGGAGAGATTAATTTTGTATTGTAAGTGTAATTAATTAATTTTCGGGTTATAACGGAAAGGTATTAATTTTTTTGAGGCTGATACAGTTAAGAATTTTACGCCACTAGATTGCTGAAATCCAGGTTTAAACTTTAAAAATGTGATGATAATTAAGGATTCGTTTAGATAGTTACTTGGAGAAAATTATGGATCTGATTGTAAGTCACATATTTTCCTAATTTTTAATGTTTAAGCTCCGTTAACTTATCTATAATGGTGGAGTAAATATTACATCGTTTTTACCTTTTACTCTTGTAGTTTTACCAATTGAGGACAAGAAAAGAATCGAATCAACATTTGAATCGTGCCATTTTTATTCAGATCAGTTAAACCGTACCTCCATAATCACTCTCTTATTCTGTTTTCATTTCACGCGATCGCATCATCGTTGTTTAGCTAAACGGATTCATCTGATTATCTGCTTTAAAATCCAAAATTCATGTATAACAGTACTACACGTTCAAGCTTTATGAGAATGCACCAACAAGTAACACAGTTTCAAAGGGCTCTCTTGCCTGAAGAGGTGGTTTAGATTCTCATGACATCGAGGTAAGATTTTCCACCGAGCTCGCGGGAGAACAAGCCTTTCAAATACTCATCGGTGGTCACGTTTCTGAAAAACGCAGCCTTTTGCCTTTCCACGAGACTTCAGCGGACCAATTTCTTTACCCACTCCCGCAATGTGAAATAATGCCACAGAAAGCCTCTCTTTCTCTGAGTTCACAACCCCGCGATGCTCTATACTTCGGTATGTTCCATTCGTTACGATCTACGTACGTCATTACCAATATTAGCATCATATCAGAACCATTTACAATGATACCAAATTAGTGACTTTAACAACTATATAACTTACCTCTAAGACGTCTCCAACATTGACAATGAAAGCATTTGGGAGAGGTTTGACAGAAACCCACTTGCCATCTTTCTTGATTTGGAGACCTTCCACTTCATTAACCTGCAAAAGATGGTGAGTCCCGTAGCATCGGAATGCGGAGTCAGACCGATTACTTGGTCGGGCTGTGGACAAGGCGGGTAGTAATTAACCCTCAATCTCTGCCTTAACTCATCATCAAACACGCTCTCCATTTCCTCGGGTTTGATCTTTAGAGCGCTGGCCATTTTCGCGAATAAGATCTTAGCTATGCTTTTCACTTCATCTGAATACGTCTCTAGTGTATCTCTGAAGAAACAGAAACATAAAATTTTAAAACAGAGAAGACTTGTGGAGATACTAAGAATGGTTTTACATATATTTTGATGCAAACCTAATGGGGAGAGGTATCTTGGGGAACACGTGAGGCTTGCGTAATCCAACAGGTTGCATGGTAAGGAGGAACAAGTCTGCCCAATCGAGTTTCTGCTCTTCTGAAACCACAAAGGCTTGTCCAAACCCTTCCAGATCTCCTGGCTGTTGCCAAAGCTTCTTCTTCTCTTCCATGGGAAGGTTGAACAAATCTTGAATCTCCGACTTGAATTTGTCCAAGAATCCCGAGTCCATTCCATGGTTTACAAGCTGATAGATGATATTCATAAAGACATGCCACAATATTAAAACTTGAAATCTTTTGGGGTTTAATAGTCTAACAAAGAAAGAAGAGGGGTTGTTTTGTAAAGAATGAGTTTTGAAATAGTGAAGTTTGACTATTTGAGTTTTGAGGCTTGCCTGGAAAAATCCCCATTCTTTGCAAGCAAAGTCGAGCTTATCAATCTCAGAATCCATGGAGGTTGAAGAACACAAACGATTCATGTCGATAATAGGGATTTCGTTTCTTAGAACAGAGTCATCAGCGATCTCAGCTTTGTCTAAATCAGACCGAACATACCTGAGAGGAACCGTCGTGATCATCTTGTCTTTTACCATCTCTTGAACAGATGGAACTATAATAGAGCTATACTGTCTTGCTCCCTTGGCTTCCATGGCCGCTTCTTCTTGGAAAGAAAATATTGCTAATTGCTAACAGTCTCACATCTAATGATATACATATGTGGGGAGAGAGTATTGTTTTATTTATTTATTGTTGTTTTAGAGCATATGATTGACAACTACAAAGTCTACAATTATATGATTACAATGACTGGTTGCCGACAAAATAATAATTCTGGATATTGGATTACTTATCTTATACTTTTTTTGTCAAGATTATGAAGTATTAGTTAGTTACTTACTTAGTTTATTGATTTTAAAATACTATTTTCAGTTATTTTCGACTGAAAATATAAATCAATGAAAATTTCTCAATCGGACTTCTTTCTTTTGTTTTGTAAAGAGGAATTGTTCACAAACCAAAAAAAAAATACAAAGTATTGTTCTTTATAAAGCCTCAACCAACCACACTAGAAAAACTGGCATGTACCGAGGGTCCGAACTGCTATCAGCCTAACACTGCTAAGTTGCTAAATTTGGAATTTAGGACTTAAAACTGGAGATTTTGCAACAAACCATTGACTGTTATAGATATTACTCAATTAGAATACTAGAATTGTGAACGCGGGATAAAACTATACCAAATTTTACATTTTATTAATTTAATTTAACTATAAGTATTTATATTTAATTTTAAAATTCCTATTGTCATACTAATGACTTACAATATTTGGAGAAAACAGAAAATGCCGAACCGTGTGCGTTTCCTCAAGGAGATAGCGAAGGATGTGATTAGTGCTACAGAATTGTAAGCCGCAAAGCACTAAACCAACTAGAGTGGAACGTATGTTAGTTGGGAGTATCCACATGTCGGGTGGACAAAGCTGAATACGGATGGAGCTTTACGCGGAAATCCAGGCTCGGCTGCAGCAGGTGGTGTGTTACGCAATCACCACGGAGAATGGTGTGGAGGTTTTGCTCTTCATATTGGAAGATGCACAGCGCCTCTAGCGGAGCTATGGGGGGACTATTATGGTTTATGCGTTGCTTGGGACAGGGGATACCGAAACTAGAAGTCGAGGTGGATTCTGAATTGGTAGTGGGTTTCCTCACGACAGGGATTGGTGAGTCTCATCCTCTGTCTTTCCTGGTACAGTTGTGCCATGGCTTTATCAAAAGGGACTGGGAGGTCCAAATATCTCACGTATATAGGGAGACTAATCGTCTAGCTGATGGGTTAGCTAACTATGCTTATACCCTTGCTCTAGGTTTTCATTTTTTTTGAGGCAGTTCCTGCTGTTGTTAGTTCGTTGTTGCAGGAAGATTCTCTTGGATCTGTGTATCTGCGACACGTTTGTAGTTCTTAATTTTGTTGGATGAATAAAGGTGGGAGACGAATCCCACACAACCCACCAAAAAAAAATGACTTACAATATTTGTTTGTATCATGATTTTAATTTTCAATTTTTTTAAAGTAATGTTTTAACTAAGTATTGCCTGATCCTAAATTTATTAATATACTTTGAATACTATTTTATGATATATGAATTATCTTTAATCGATCTTTAACCGACACTATTATATTGTTTATACGTAACATTTTCACATATTTCTATATATAAGCAAATGAACAAAAAATTATACAAAAATTTGTAAATATATTTCATGAATACTTAATTATTATCATTATTTTTCTTTAAACCTTCGATAAACTTTCATTTATTTACTTAAATTTTTTATTTAAACATGAGAATGTGAAGAGTTATGTTAACTGTAGAAATTAATAAATCATCAAACATTTTTTTTTAAACTTAATAAATAGATGTCATGTAGCATCTCCATAATCAACAACATATGTCATCAGAGAGTTATCTAACTACTATAGTATAGTATAGATAGTTTTTTCAGGATCAACGCCGCCTTGGAGCTATTGTTATCCCAAACAAAGAAGCAGCAGAAGGAGCAGCAACAAGTCAAATATCACCAGTAGATCCTCAAGTCAACAGACTTAGCAAGGAGACACTCACGAGTATGGTCTACGAAGAACTTAGGAAATGGTAATGACTCAACACTACACAATGATTAGTGAATAAAGTTTTCTTGAAAAGCATGGTCCATCTAAAAATAACTTGAAATCCAAGTTTACTCTTAGAGCGTTTGAGATTGAGTATATACTTGATTTGCAAGGAACTCATATTTTCTGTATGGATAAATTGTGATGATTGATGCAGGACATCAGAATGTTCGTTCCAAGTCGGTCCGGTTCTCATCGTGGACGAGCCATTCACGGTACAATTCTTATGGCCATTTTTTGTGTGTCTCTTATTGATTTTTCCCTTCACTGGGACTCAAAAGCTTCAAACTTCATGTGAACGCTCTACGTAAATTATTGCAGATAGACAATGGTTTCATGACGCCGACAATGAAAATAAGAAGAGACAAGGTGGTTGATCAATACAAGGAGGAGATAGATAGACTCTACAAGTAGACTTGGACAATTTTAGAATGCTGATTTTTTAAATATTTTTAGCTTTACTTTGTTAAAGGATTAGCAAAACGCTGGACCGGCTCATGCTTTACTGTCAATATGAACTAATAAATCTTGGACCAGTAATGATAAAAGTGAATATCATAAATCACATCAAATCATGGATCGTTATGGGGTAGTGTTAAAAGCAAAAGAAAGGCTTTTCTGACATAATTATGTATTTATGTTAAATGACTATTGAATAAGCATATATTAGTGGATCAAACCAAAAGATGTATTGGAGAAGTACTGGGATAATTGGAGATCTTGACGCTTTGAGCTATCTAAAGGTCATCCGTCGGCTTGAAAGTTGGAGTTGGCGACAGAAGAACGTGTTTATAGGTATAGAACGTGTTTTCATTGTCTTAGATTAGGTATTGTACATAAATGGTATTATCTTTTATAGAACGTGTTTTCATTTTGTCTTTTTTCTAATATCCTCGAAACAATACTAGTCCAACTTACAGAATGTGTTTTCATTTTGTCATTTTCTAGTGTCCTTGGAACAAATAATAGTTTACTGCTCCAACTTGCAGAAAATATGAGTATAATATATAGTTGCATTATTAAGACATCTATGAGTATAATATACAGTTGCATTACTAAGACAACGAGAGAGAGTGATAGAGAGATGGAAGCAGCGGTGCCAATAGCGGAGAGCAAGAGCAACCATGGCGGAGATTGCTGCAAGAGCGGGCCTGGTTACGCCACGCCTCTCCTCGCCATGTCTGGTCCACGAGAAAAACTCATATATGTCGCTGCAATATACACCGGTAATTTAGTTTGTTATAGATATGTATCTAGGGAAGGTTTAAGATAGTTAAAGATCAAATAAACTCATAGTTTTGGAAACCGGTTTGGTCCAGGAACCGAGCAAGAAAAGCCAGATTACTTAGCGACGGTGGATGTGGATCCGAACTCATCGACATACTCTAGTGTCATCCACAGATTGTCAATGCCTTTTATCGGAGACGAACTTCATCATTCAGGCTGGAACTCGTGCAGCTCTTGCTATAAGGATCCTTCTTGCGAAAGACGTTATCTCATCTTGCCTTCTCTTCTGTAAGAAAACTAAACAAACAAACATTACTCCTCTGTTTTGCTCTGAAAATATATCATGTTTTGTGCTCCTGTCTCACACATGTTTTGGAAAAAAGGTCTGGTCGCATCTACGTGGTTGATACGAAAACAGACCCGAGGGAACCATCTCTGCACAGAGTGGTAGAGCCTGCTGAGGTTTTGGAGAAGACGGGATTAGCTTATCCGCATCAACCACATTGCTTAGCTTCTGGAGACGTTCTTGTGTCTTGTCTTGGGGACAAAGATGGAAACGCAGAAGGCAGTGGGTTTCTCTTACTTGATTCCGAGTTTAACATCAAAGGAAGGTACTTTCTTGGACGGCAAGAATGAACAGCAAAACCTAATCTTTTTGACTAACAGCTCTTTAAATCTCTTAGGTGGGATAAAGAAGGACACAGTCCTTTGTTTGGGTATGATTTTTGGTACCAACCTCGACACCAGACGATGATTAGTTCCTCTTGGGGAGCACCTGCCGCTTTCGCTAAAGGCTTCGATCTCAAAGATGTCTCTGATGGCTTGTATGGAAAGCATCTACATGTCTATAGCTGGCCTGAAGGCGAATTGAAACAGATACTTGACCTTGGTGATACAGGACTTTTACCCTTAGAGGTAAAACCCTAAATCTTGCATTCTCAACTTAAGACTTCTTTCTTCTTTCACAAGAAAACAACGTCTTCCTCTTGATCTGTTTCGTGGTTTCAGGTGAGATTCTTGCATGACCCTACTAAAGCTATTGGATTTGCGGGCTGTGCTTTGTCGAGTACTATAGTAAGATTTTTCAAGAACGAGGATGAAACTTGGAGCCACGAGGTATACACAATGTTTGAATCTTATCTTAATTAGTCGTTTCTTTTTCCTGACAACTTCCTCCATCTTTAAGGTGGCAATATCAGTGAAACCTCTGAGAGTTGAAAACTGGATGCTCCCAGAAATGCCAGGGCTCATCACCGACTTCCTAATATCAATGGACGACCGATTCCTTTACTTTTCTAACTGGCTTCAAGGAGATATTCGTCAGTACAACATTGAGGACCCTGAAAACCCGGTTTTAACCGGTCAACTACACGTAGGCGGGCTAGTCCAAAAGGGAAGCCATGTCTTGGCTTTAGGAGAAGAAGGCGAGACTTTTCAGTTCGATGTCCCTGAGATCAAGGTTCGTTGAACAAATTTTGATCATGTTGCTTGTTATACACGCTATTATAATATAATTATCGTTTTTTTTTTCTGTAGGGTCAGCGAATGAGAGGAGGTCCTCAGATGTTTCAGCTGAGCTTAGACGGGAAGAGATTATACGTGACGAACTCGTTGTTCAGCGTGTGGGACAAACAGTTTTACCCAGAGCTTGTGGAGAAAGGCTCACACATGTTGCAGATCGATGTTGATACAGACAAAGGTGGTCTCTCTATAAACCATGACTTCTTCGTCGACTTTGGGTCCGAACCGGATGGTCCTGCGCTAGCTCACGAGATGAGGTATCCTGGAGGAGACTGTACCTCTGACATTTGGGTTTAGTTTAAGTTTTTTGTTTGTTTTTCCAATAAACAAAAAATTTCTTTGGAAATTGGAGCGAAATTTAATATTTTTTCATGAGTTTGTGTGAATAAAAATATATAATAAATGTTGATAATTCATATATGCAGAATACACTTGTGAGTTGTGATTAATATCTGTTCCACAATTCCATCACCTTCGAAGATGACATTCTCACATTAAAAATGAAAAGTGACATAGACTTAATACATGTAACATGAATCTCTTTGTTTCTCATTATCACATATTAATATGATGACGTACGAATTTAACTAACAAAATTAATTTACTCCATGTTAAGTGAATTAGATCTCCCGTGTAATAGTTGCTTCCCCAACACAACAATAATCAATTTATTATGAATGTAACTATCCAAAACATGGCATCAGTTACCATTTTCTTATGAAATACCGGCGTCACTACCATAGGATTTTTTTTTTAAATTGATTTTCATGTCACTAACAAAAAGAAACTAATATTTTCAGAATTTGCGTACACTATATCTTAGAATTGTATACGGTATATGGTATTTTATACATATTTTTGTATCAAAATAAACCGTACTAAGATTACACAAAGGCGAAACTACATGAGAGGTAGGTGGTTCGGCTGACACCTCTTAAATAATATATTTATTTTATTTTCACTTCAGTAATAGGTGATAAAATTTTGATAGTGGTAAAAAAAATCAATTATGAAATGCTGCATCTTTATCACGTCGTTCGCCTCAACAATGTTGCTTTACTGTTTCATCATCCACAACTCTCAATCTCAAGGTAGAGTCTGATTGTTCATTAGTCTGAAATTGATTTTAATCAGTCTAATAAAATGTTTATTGATTTTAATAATCTAATCGTAGCTATCTCATAGTCTAATAGTCATTGATTTTGATAGATTTGTTGCCTCTCTCACATCAACATGGACAAGTTGGTAACACAGGATTTCACCATCTTCATTTCCCCCAAAAATCCATTCTTTCTTTTTTGGTTTACCAAAATTTTGTGTATTATTATCTTGTATATAGGTTAATAATCTCTTGTTATTGGCAACATAAATTTTTAAGCTGATGATACAATTATGATTTTTTTTTATATATCTTTTGTTATAAGTTTTGAGCAATGATTTGAATCTATCTATTTCTATGCTTTAGTGTGAAGCGAAAAACAGAACGTGTGGGTCAATATAAACAGCTCAGCAAGATGTAGTTGGGTTGTTGAACTTGTTTGGTGGCAATTACACTAACTCCTTAATTATCCTCCTTTACTACCCAAACCCCACACATTAATCATAGTCCAGTTAATAATGACCCTCAAAATTATTAACTTCTTATTTTTGTTTCATACGATTAAATACAATTAAGTTGGACTGTCGGATATATGAGTATGACTATATCTAATACGATTTATTAATAATTATCCTAAATCGCCATTGCTTATTAAAAAATATAGAAAATATTATACTAGTCGTTGGAAAGAAAAACAAAAACATGAATTCTCAAAGGAACCAAGTGTTTGTTGGTGGACCACAAATATTTACTTAGAGATATATTGGAGAGAAACCCAATGAAAGAAAATGTAAAGTGGTTTTGATTTGAATAATTAAATACTTGACGTAACGGTTCAGAGTTTGGACCTATCGATCTTTAAACCGACCGGTTTAACCCCACAAGAACGAGTTAATTGGAAGTTATAACGCAGAGATCAACACCACATCTACCAAAATTTCCACACACCGACATGTCGAGATCTTTAGCTCTTGTTTACTTATCCATACTTTTTCTTCAAACCCATCTCTCAATCTCTGTGGAGGTTCCGGTTTCGTCGGTGAAAGGCGAAATCGACGCAATGCTTAACCGGAACGGCGTAATCAATCAAGAAGGAGAAGAAGAAATTATGCCGTCGGAGATAAACCGGAGAGTAATGATGATGAGGAAACAGTATATAAGCTACGCGACACTAAGGAGAGACATGGTTCCTTGTCAGAAACCAGGCGCTTCGTATTACGCTTGTCGCTCGGGACAGGCTAATTCTTACAGCAGAGGATGTAACATCATTACTAGGTGTGCTAGAGACACTAGCGAATTCAAGAACTGAAAATTTGATGTCGGATCTTGATAATGAGTTTGATAGATTCAGATGCTGTCTCTAAGGATGAGGCAAGTAAAATCTTGTTTTCTTTTGTAATTTTGTTTTACAGTAGAAGTCTTGTATTTGATGATTTGTAATTTGGGATTATTTTGGCTATCAGTGTTCAAATAATTGATATATTTATTGTTAAGAAGTGTTGAGTGGAGTGTGATAGATTGAAGATTGTGGATTTTTTTAGGATAAAGTTTTGAGTGTTTAAAGCTT